AAACTGCCTCGGTTATCTCTTAGTGAAACGCCGATTCAAATACCTCGAAATCAGCTCCCGCGAAGAAGGCGGGAGCCAATTGCCCGGACCAGTCCATTGCAGACCAAAACCATTCTCGTCGTCGACGACGATCCGAATATCCGCGAAGTGATCTGTTTCGCCCTGCAGAAAGCATCCTACATTCATGAGGTTGCAACCAACGGCAAGGATGCGCTGGACAAGGCGGTGCTTTGCTCTCCCGCACTTATCATTCTCGATATCGGGCTGCCGGAAATGGACGGCCTTGACGTGTGCCGGGAGCTGCGAAAAAAGTCTGAAGTCCCGATCCTTTTCCTGTCCGCCCGGGACGATGAAATCGATCGCATCATCGGGCTGGAACTGGGCGCGGACGACTATGTCACCAAACCCTTCAGTCCGCGCGAACTGATTGCGCGGGTCGGTGTCATTCTCAAGCGCTACGGAGCCCCACAATCCGAGGCAATCCCGGCTGAAGGTTCCAGCCTTGCACATGGCCTCCTGTGCCTGGAAACAGAAGAACGTCAGGTCTCGATCGACGGCAACGACGTCACGCTTACCGCCATTGAATTCGATATTCTGACGGCCCTGATGAGCCGTCCCAAGATCGTCTTTACCCGCGAGCGCATACATGAACGGGCCTACAAGGACAACATTCACGTCTCCGACCGGACCATTGACAGCCATATCCGCAACATTCGGGCAAAACTCGGATCCGCGGGATGCGGCGATGCCATCGAAACCGTCCACGGTGTCGGCTTTCGGCTCGGCCCCTGCGAAAATGGAAGTTGAGCCTGACAATGCTGTTCTCGCGATCCTTCCGTGACCGCTGGCGACCGCCTCTCAGCCTGGTCATCGCGCTGGTGCTGGGGATCATGCTGCTTGTCCCGCTTGGGGGGATCGTCTTTTTCCGCGTCTATGAAAATCAGCTGATACAAACCACGGAAGGCGAACTGATCGCGCAGTCCGCAGCCATCGCAGCCATCACCGCACAGCACCTGAGGCAATTCGGCGGTGAAGACCTTCCTCTCGGCACAAATGCCATCGATCAGCCCATCCCCTATTCCATGGAACCGCTGATCTCCACGCTTCGCAGGTCAAAAAACCAGCCTGAAGGCAACTGGGCTCCGCAACTGCCCATCCTCGATCTGAACAAGACGCCCGTTCTGCCTGCCCGCGCCGACCCGGTGGCCACGGATGTCCGGATTCATCCGGCTTATCATGCGACAGGAAAGGCAATTGCCACGGTACTGAGGGATACCCAGAGACTGACACTTGCCGGTTTCAGAATTCTCGATCCAAACGGGATCATTATCGCGGGCCGGGATGATACCGGCCTGTCTCTTGCGCATGTCGAGGAAGTTCAAACAGCGCTTGGCGGTCGCTATTCGAGCGCTCTGCGCGAACGTACAGTGCAGAACCCCCAACCGATCTATTCCATCAGCCGCGGCACCAGTGTCAGGGTCTTCGCCGCCCTTCCGATCGTCCTCGACGGCAAGGTTGCTGGTGTCGTCTATGCCTCGCGGACACCAAGCAATATCCTGCGTGAAATGTTCCTGAAGCGGGAAACAATGTTCTGGGTCCTCGCCTTCGTGCTCAGCGCCACTTTGGTTGTCGGCGTCATCTTCGCCCGCGGGATCGCCGGACCGATCAAGGCGCTCACGGAACGTTCGTTGAAAATCGGCCGTGGAGATCGCGATGCGCTGAAGCCACTCGTCATCCACGGAAACCGGGAAATCCATGCCTTGTCTTCCAGCATGCTGGATACATCGCGCAAGCTGTTCGAGCGAAACGACTATATCAACACGTTCGCCAATCACGTGACCCACGAACTCAAGACACCGCTGACCGCGATCCAGGGCGCGACCGAACTGCTGCGCGATGGTGGAGATGAACTCAGCGACGCGGAGCGAGAAAAGTTTCTCGGAAACATCCTGGCCGATACGGAGCGAGCCTCACGATTGTTGAACCGCCTGCGCGAACTCGCGCGGGCCGATAGCGTGGAAATCGGCGGAACGTGTCAATTGTCGGAGGTGTTGAGTGACATCAGACGACGATTTCAAGGGCTCACCATCGATGCAAGAAAAGACTGCATGTTGCCGCTTGCAGCCGAGAATGCCCGCATTGTCTTCGAGAACCTGATCGACAATTCCATCCGTCACGGAGCAGACCGGGTCTCGTTTTCTCCTGAGGAGACAGAAAACGGATTCTCGCTTGCCGTTGCAGATAACGGAGAAGGCATATCCGCCGGGAACCAGGACCAGATATTTGACCTGTTTTTCACCACGCGGCGCGCAAGCGGGGGCACCGGTATGGGCCTCGGAATAATTCAGGCACTACTCAAGGCCCACCAGGCAACAATCCGGTTGAGACCTCAGGATCGCGGCGCCTGCTTTGAAATCTGCTTTCCACCCAGAAGACGCTGAACCTTTATGCTTCTGTTACCTTTATCTTAAGCACGTCTTTTATGCGTTGTTTAACACGCTCTAGGTAGTCTCCCCTTGGGTAACTTTGGGATTGGACACGATGCAACAGACGCGACAGCCGTCACTTTCGCGCGGAGAAAGTGGAAGCCTGGGTATTGCGCTTCCGGTCCTTCAGCTCTTTGCGGGGACCTTGTTCCTGAGCGCGTTTTTGCTGTTTTCGGTCCAGCCGTTCTTCTCAAAACTGGTTCTGCCGAAACTTGGAGGATCGCCCGGCGTGTGGTCCGTCGCAATGGTCTTCTTCCAGAGCGTTCTGCTACTGGGATATACCTATGCGCATATTCTGACACGATATCTGCAAACGAGACGGGCAATACTTGTGCACGCAGTGGTCCTGTTGTCCGCGTGTGTTTTCCTGCCTTTGGGGATTGCGTCCGGCTGGGATACGCCCCCCGTGCAGCATCAGGAAATCTGGCTTCTTGGATTGTTTGCAGTCTCGGTCGGTCTACCGTTTTTTGCAGTATCGGCAAACGCCCCGCTGCTTCAGGCCTGGTTTACCCGGACCGGCCACAGACACGCGTCGGATCCATACTTTCTTTACGGCGCGAGCAATATCGGCAGTTTTGCATCGCTCTATCTCTACATTCTCGTACTGGAACCAGCTCTTGCGCTTGGAACCCAGTCGCTGTTGTGGACAGCGGGCTACTTCATGCTGGTCATTGCAATCCTGCTGTGCGGTGCCTCCGTATTCAAGCAGTCGGACACTGTTTCAGATCACCCCGGCGGGTCTTCCAACGCCGGCGATGCCGCTACTGACCAACGTATCCCGGCAAAACAGATCCTTGTCTATCTTGGACTTGCCGCCGTACCGTCAGCGCTGACGATCGCCCTCACCGCGCATATTGCCGTGGACATCGCCTCCGCACCGTTCATGTGGGTCGTTCCCCTTTCGCTGTTCCTGCTGACCTTCGTCATCGCGTTCAAGAACAAGCCCCTGATTTCGGTCGACTTCCTGTCGAACCTCCTTCCCTGGACCGCCATAATTGCGGCCGCGGTTATTTTCCTTCCCAAACTCTTACCGCTGACATTCGGGCTCGGCGCCAATCTGCTGATCTATTTCATCACCGTGCTGTTCTGCCACGCGCGGCTTTATCAGCTTCGTCCGCACGCGAGCCAATTGACGGCCTTTTATCTCTGGATGTCGGTCGGCGGTGTCCTTGGCGGTATCTTTGCCGGTCTGGTCGCGTCGAACATCTTCAACTGGGTGGCCGAATACCCGATGCTGATGTTGAGCGCACTGTTCCTGTTACCACTCAAAGGCGGTGCCACCTCCAGATCCGTCTTCTGGACCATCACCGCTGGCTCCGTTCTCGCATTTGCATTCTGGGCGGCCGCAACGCGTGGCCTGATCCCGGAATTGAAGGGGCACGAGATCGTCACCCTGTCGATCATCGGCCTGATTACGCTTGCAGCCATTGTGCAGCTCAAGTGGCAGGCCGTGTCCCATGTCCTGCTGGTTCTGACCGTTCCATTTGCCCTGCTGTTGCAACTTCACCCGAGCGTCGTTCACTCGGAACGGTCATTTTTCGGTGTCATAAAGGTCAAGGACACCGACAACGGTTTGCATCGCAGGATGGTGCATGGCACGACCGTTCACGGCAGCATTGCCATGAGCGCCTTCGAACCGGACGTCGGAACAGGCAATCCGGAACCGCTTGCCTACTACCACGAGACAGGCGAGATGGCCGACACGTTGAACGCCGCGAGAGTTGCGGCCGGTGGCACGTTGCGGCATGCCGGCATCGTCGGTCTTGGAACCGGAAGTTTCCTGTGCCACATGCAGCCTAGTGAAGAATGGGCTGTCTACGAAATCGACAAGTCGGTCATAGATGTTGCGTCGAACCCGGCTTACTTCCGCTTCATTTCAGACTGCGGCCCGCAGGCGAAGATGGTTCTTGGTGATGCGCGCCTGACACTGGAGGCGGAGCCGGACGGCAAATTCGACTATCTGCTCATCGATGCGTTCTCATCCGATTCCATACCGGTTCACCTGATGACCAGGGAGGCAATCGACCTCTTCTTTTCAAAACTCTCGGAGAACGGGTTGCTGGCGCTCCACATATCGAACCGGTATCTGGAACTGGCCAGCGTGCTGGCCGCCATCGCCGAAGTGGATGGATATGAATTGCGTTTTGCTGAATTCAGCGCAGCTGAGGACAAGACCAAGCCCGATCAGGTCTTCGGAGCAAATGTCATGGTGCTTGCACGCGAAGAAGCCGATTTCGGCCCGCTTCTGGAAAACTCCAGATGGAATACTGTTTCGGCAGGAGACACGCGGCCCTGGACGGATGATTATTCGAACATTGTCGGCGCGATTGTCCGGCACGAGTTCAGGTAAAGGCGGTCGATACGGGCCCAGCCTGGTCGCAGCTGGTGCGTCTAGTTGAAGGCGCTGCCTGCAGACAACATCACCCGGTCACAGGTCCCTGTGCCCGGGTGATTTCATTCCTGGCATGGACGGCGAGACAAGGCGGGACGCTTCGCTCTTGTCTCGCCGGGTAATTATTCGGCCGCGACAGCGACATCCCGGAAGGAGCGGCGCGCCCAGGGGCGGGTTCCGAACGGAATTTCGTCGACCGTCCCCACCGGCTGCAGGTACTTGGTGACTTCCGGCCATTCGCCCGCCTTGAGTGCTTTCAGCACTTCCGGCTTGGTAATCTCGAACGAGGAAACACCACACCGGCGCGCGAGCGGCACCTGGTCCAGAATGTACTTGCCGGCAGCCCGGATATCCCCTTGAAAGCCTATCTGCTCACGCAGTACCCGGGCCGCGGAAAAGCCGCGCCCGTCGGCAAAACTCGGGAAGTCGACAGCGACATAGGCCAGATTGTCGAGGTGAGGCTGTAGCAGTTCGACATTGTCGCCGGCCTCAACTAGCACTGCTGTTTTTCCGTTGCGAGCGAGATAGTCGTTCGCGGCCTCCAGAAACAGGGTCTGCGGTACCAGCGCGTCGCCTTCAATGGCGCTACCTGTTTCGGCATCCACCCGGATCCAGTTCTCTTCGACGAACTCGCCGTCCTTGTAAATCGTTGTCATTTCGTGCGTCCTCGGTTCCAGTTTAGGCAGCGGTCAGATGCCGCTGCCGTCGATTTCCTTGCCATGGGTCGGCCAGTGAATGCCGCATTCCGTCTTGTCCTGGCCACGCCAGCGGCCTGCGCGCGGGTCTTCGCCCGGTGCAACCTTGCTGGTGCAGGGCAGGCAGCCGATCGAAGGATATCCTTGCGCGACCAACGGATGTGGAGGCAGTCCGTGCGACTTTGCATAGTCCAGGACCTCGGCTGCAGACCAGTCGGCCAGCGGATTGACCTTCACCCGGCCCGCGTCGACCTCAAAGTTCTCGAGGCTGTTGCGTGTCGCGCTCTGATGACGCTTCCGGCCTGAAATCCATGCTTCGAAACCATGAAGCGCCTGCTCCATCGGAACCACCTTGCGGATGTGACAGCAGGCATCCGTGTCGGTCATCCAGAGCATGCCGGACGGGTCCTGCTCCTCCAGGTCCTCCCTGGTCGGCTTGAAGGTGCGCACATCCGTAAGACCAAGCTTTTCGATCAGCTCGTCCCGATAAAGCAGGGTTGCCGGGAACAGCTTCACCGTGTCGATGAAGAGCACGGGTGTCGACGGATCAATCTGGGCCACCATATGCAGCAGCACGGCAGAGTCGGCACCAAAACTGGAGACCATGGCAATGTCACCGGCGAACTGATGCCGGATCGCGCCCAACAGGATCTCCTGGGCCGACATGTCCTCGTACTGGGAATTCAGCGCGGCGACTTCCGCCTGCAATCCCAGCTCAGGATCAACCCCCAGACTGAAAGTTTCATGCAGCGCCATAAAGGGCCTCCTTGAAGGGTGCCTCCCCAACCCGGCGGTAGGCGTCCAGGAAGGTTTCTTCCTTGCCGGATCGAAGGCCGAGATAGGTATCGACCAGCTTTTCGATCGCATCGATGACTTCCTCGGAAGAAAAGCCGCGACCGACGATCTCACCGATGGAAGCATTCTCGTTGGCCGAACCGCCGAGCGTTACCTGGTAGAATTCCTCGCCCTTTTTCTCCAGACCGAGAATGCCGATATGACCGACATGGTGGTGGCCACAGGCATTGATACAGCCGGAGATCTTGATCTTGAGTTCGCCGATTTCCGCCTGGCGTTCTGCCGTGCCGAAGCGTTCGGAAATACGCTGTGCCACCGGGATAGAGCGCGCTGTTGCCAGGGCGCAATAGTCCATGCCCGGGCAGGCTATGATGTCGGTGATGAGACCGGCGTTGCCTTCGGCGATTTCGGCGGCAGACAGCCGGTCATAGATCGCCGGCACGTCATCAAGCTTCACATGTGGCAGGATAACGTTCTGTTCGTGGCTGATGCGGATTTCATCATGGCCGTATTGTTCTGCCAGGTCAGCGATCACTTCCATCTGCGCATCAGAAGCATCGCCCGGGATACCACCAATCGGCTTCATGGAAAGCGTCACGGAAGTATAGCCCGGCACCCGGTGCGGGTTCAGGTTGTGCGCCAGGAACTGGGCAAAGGCGGCATCGGCATTCCGCCGCGCTTCTACGGCCTCGGAAGCAGACGGGCCAACCTCAAGCGGGGGCGGTGCGAAATAGGCTTCGATGCGACGGACTTCCTCGTCCGGCAGGCGCAGCACGCCAAAGCGGATCTTTTCGAACTCCTCCTCGATATCCGCCTTCAGTTCTTCCAGGCCGGTTTCGTGCACGAGGATCTTGATCCGCGCCTTGTACTTGTTGTCGCGGCGGCCATAGCGGTTATAGACGCGCAGGATCGCTTCCGAATAGGCCAGAAGATCTTCTTCCGGCAGATAGTCGCGCACCTTGCGGCCAATCATCGGCGTACGTCCAAGACCACCGCCGACATAGACCACAAAACCGATCTCGCCTTCATCGTTCCGTGTCAGTTGCAGGCCGATGTCGTGCACCTGCACAGCGGCCCGGTCGTTGGGCGCTCCGGTGATCGCGATCTTGAATTTGCGCGGCAGGAACGAAAACTCCGGATGAAGAGACGACCACTGACGCAGAATTTCCGCATAGGGGCGCGGGTCTGCGATCTCGTCGGCGGCCGCGCCGGCAAAGTGGTCAGCCGTCACGTTTCGAATGCAGTTGCCGGATGTCTGAATGGCGTGCATTTCCACTTCCGCCAACTCTTCCAGGATCTTCGGCGTGTCTTCCAGCTTTGGCCAGTTGAACTGAATGTTCTGGCGCGTCGTGAAGTGGCCGTACCCCTTGTCGTAAGTGCGCGCGATATGCGCGAGCTTGCGCATCTGGCGACCGTTCAAAGTGCCATAGGGAATGGCAACCCGCAGCATGTAGGCATGCAGTTGGAGATAGAGACCGTTCATCAGGCGAAGAGGCTTGAACTCGTCTTCCGACAATTCGCCCGCAAGGCGGCGCCGGACCTGGTCCTTGAATTGCTCGGTGCGCTGATTGACAAAACTCGCGTCAAATTCGTCGTAGCGGTACATCTTGAACTCTCCTAGCAGGCGCTGCCGTTTTCGATTTTTCCGGCGCTGCCTTTCCCTGTTGTCTTTTTTCAGGCCGATACGGCCTGGGCCTGTTTACCGAACTGCGGGTGGGTGGTCGGACCGGCGGCCCGGATGCGCTCACGCAGGCGGACCGGCACAATCACGCCGTCCTCCAGTGTTACGTCCATTTCGTAGACGCTGACGACTTCCTGGTTTTTCTCGGCCTCCTGGCCGATGGCCAGTCCTTCCGCGACCTGGTCTTTGCCGTCGAAAGTTCTGGCCAGCGTTATGCGCTCGACCCAGCTGCCGTTTTCGCCGAGCCAGACAACGTCGCCGTTCAGCAAGCGGTTGGCGGTGATGACTTTCATTGCGTCTACTCTCTTTCGTCAGGCAACTGCGGCGCGGGCCACGTCAAGCGGCACCAGCGTTTCGGCCTTGTGCAGGGCGGCGTGGCCAACAGCCTCGCCTATGACTATGAGGACCGGGCCTTCGATTTCCGCACGGTTCGACAAAACCGCGAGTTCGGAAAGCGTTCCGGCAAAAAGGCGTTCATCCGCATGAGCGGCATTTTCCACGACCGCGACCGGGGTTTGCGGCTTCAGGCCCGCGCCGATCATCTTGTCGGCAACCGCGGCTGCAACAGTGCGTCCCATATAGACGGCGACAGTCGCGCCTTTCAGCGCAAGACCGGCCCAATCCGGCAGCGTCTCGGACTTGGCGTTGTGGCCGGTTGCAAAAACAAGGTTGGAGGCCACTCCCCGCAGGGTCAACGGGATCTGGGCCGAGGCGGCCGCGGCAAAGGCTGCTGTAACGCCGGGGACGATCTCAAATCCGATCCCACCTGCACGGAGCGCCTCCATTTCCTCTGCGGCCCTGCCGAATATCATCGGATCGCCGGCCTTCAGGCGCACAACTTTCAAACCCTTCGTTCCCAACTCCACGAGCAGATCGCAGATCTCGTTCTGCGCGACGGAATGGGCCCCCTTGCGCTTGCCAACGGAAATTCGCTCCGCATCACGGCGCCCCATGGAGACAACACCCGCCGGAACCAGGGCGTCATGAACGATCACATCTGCTTCCTGCAAAAGCCGTTGCGCCCTGAGGGTCAGGAGGTCTTCCGCGCCAGGGCCAGCTCCGACCAGCCAGACAAAACCGGGCTCGTCGGCCATGCCGTTCAGCAGTCGTTGTGCATCGGCACGGGCTGCATCCGGCTTGCCGGCATAAAGATTTGTCGCCACGGAACCGGAGAAAAACCGGGCCCAGAAATTGCGTCGCAGCCCGCCGTCGGCAATTACCTTGGAGGCCGCGTCGCGAAAACTTTCAGCAAGACGCGCCAACTGCCCGGTTGCCCGCGGCAGCATCGCCTCGATGCGGGCGCGGATGTGGCGGGACAGAACTGGCCCGACACCGGTGGAGGTAATTGCTACGGCGATCGGCGCCCGATTGACCAGGGCACCGGTGTAGAAGTCGCAGAGTTCCGGCTTGTCGACCGCATTCACGGGAACACCCATGATCCGGGCCGCGTCAACGACGGCCTTGTCGAGGTCCCAGTTTTCCTGGGCGGTAAACACCAGGGCCGCACCGTTCAAATGTGCAGGACGAAAACCTTCCGCGACGTGCTCGGCTTCGAAGAGGTCGATCGCCTCACGCAGGTCCTGCTCGACGGTGTTGGAGATCACGACAATCTTTGCGTTGGTTTCGCCCAGCAGCCGCACCTTGGCGGCGGCCTCGGCGCCATGGCCAACCACGAGCACCCGTCTGCCCGCGACCTTCATGAACGCGGGAAACACGTCGAGCCGGTCTTCCGGCTCTTTCAGCGTTTTGACTATGTCACCGCGACGACTGGCCATCTTCAAGGGTCTCCAATCCCAGATTGATGGCCTTAATGTAATTTGCTCCCTCCGGAAGTTCCGGGCACCGGTTTTCAAAGCTCGGCTCGGAAGAGGAATAGTTTTTTCAAGCTGAGCCGTTTGGCCGATTCCCGTTCCAGAGCGCGCAGCCAAGACAGTGTCCCCGGAGACGCCAGCAGCTAAATCGTTCAGTTTTTCCAAGGAACTGGCTGAGCCCGGGCCGTGGTTTCAGAGTGACCTGAACCGGTCCCGGATCAAGTCCGGGACGGGACAATTTTCTTTGCCCATCCAAGATCCCGAATATCCGTGTGCGAAGCTACATGACGTCATCACGGACGCATCGCAGCAGAGATCCGGGGTCGAGACCGCACGGCACCATACGGATTGCTTCCAGCACAAACGGTCGCTTGCAGCTCTCCGGTCCCGGCTAGCGCTTCGCGTCGCCGGATGACAGCAAAATCACAAGAGCACTATCCTAAGACACAATGGAGACAAAAACGATCAGAGTGATCAGTCCTGTCAATCCTGACAGACCGATCGTCCACACGTCGAATAAAAGCATCGGTCGTCCGTTAAAGTAAGGGAACACCGCCGGTGAAGACGTGTAGGTAGCAACCCACGGAAGTGGGCCATCAACAACACGCTTGATATCGGTTCTGATTGACCATGCCGAATACACCAACCCGCCAACACTTATAAAAAGGAAAGCATAGAACCCGGTCCACACAGACAAAATTAGGCCCAAAAGCAGAGGACCAATCGCGCTAATGAAATAATGAACGAAATCGACCAACTCTTCATTTGAAGGTAAAAGTTTACTTTTCGGTCTTCTATAAAATGGCGGCCAACCCATACTGACTTGCCACGCCAAGCTCCAGTAAATGAAGGTAGAAACAGATATTCCAATGAAAAAAGTCTTTATCATCATCTGTTTCTAGCGACCAAAAGACACCCTCACAACACCGCTTAAGAAACAGACGTAAAGTTGTTCGGCAGCAACCTTACCAGACTCATCATGGCAAAGCGCAACGGAGATACCGGATCGGCAAGGCACAGCACTGGTTGCTTCCCGCACAAAACGGCCGATTGCGGCTCTCCGGTCCCGGCCCGCGCTTCGCGTGGCCGGATGACGGTGGATGTTTTTCGTCTCACGGCAATCCAGTTGTCATCCCTGCGCAGGCAGGGATCCAGTAGTCATCGGGCTCAACTTAGTGCCAGTTACCTCAAGTTACAGACTACTGGTTCCCGGTCTTGCCGCTGGCGCGTCAAACCGGGATGACAACAGAGGCTCAGTCATAAAGCCCAAGGAAATCGCCAATTTTGAACTATGCAATCGGTTGGCTACCGCATCGCCTGCATTACCGAGACGAAATTGGCGACGGCTGCACCGCCCATGTTGAAGATGCCGCCGATTTCGGCGTTCTTCACCTGAATGTCGCCAGCTGTGCCGGTAAGCTGCATGGCGGTGAGGACATGCATGGAAACACCTGTTGCACCGATCGGATGACCCTTGGACTTCAGGCCTCCCGACGGGTTGACCGGCAGCTTGCCGCCCATTTCTGTCCAGCCCTCCAGAATTGCCCGTGCGCCCTCGCCTTCTGACGTCAAGCCCATGGCCTCATATTCAATCAATTCGGCAATGGTGAAGCAATCGTGGGTCTCGACGAAGGAGAGATCCTCCAGTGCAAGATTAGCATCGCCCAGCGCTTCGCCCCAAGCTTTCGAACAGCCCTCGAACTTCAGAATATCGCGGCGGGACATCGGCAGGAAATCCTGGACATGGGCCATGCCGCGGAAGGCGACAGCCTTCTTCATGCCGAGCGCGGTTACCGGGTCAGTGAGGACGAGTGCGGCCGCACCGTCGGACACCAGCGAGCAGTCCGTGCGTTTCAGGGGACCGGCAACAAATGGATTCTTTTCGCTTTCCGCGCGGCAGAAGTCGAAACCAAGATCCTTGCGCATCTGTGCATAAGGATTGCCAACGCCGTTCTTGTGGTTCTTGGCCGCAATTTTTGCCAACGCGTCCGACTGGTCTCCGAATTTCTGGAAATACCCATCGGCGATCTTGCCAAAAACGCCGGCGAAACCGGCCGGCGTGTCGCCTTCTTCCTTCAGGTAGGAAGCCTTCAGAAGGTTCTTGCCAATTTCAGGACCCGGTGTGGTGGTCATCTGTTCCACGCCGACCACAAGCACAATCCTTGCATCTCCGGAGGCAATCGCCCGCACACCCTGGTGCACTGCGGCAGACCCGGTCGCGCAGGCGTTTTCAACCCGCGTGGCTGGCTTGAAACGCAGTGCGGGATCAGCCTGCAGAACCAGGGAGGCGGTAAAGTCCTGCACGGAAAACCCGGCGTTGAAGTGACCGAGCAGGATCTCGTCGACGTCTTCTGGTGCAATCCCGGCATCGTGAATGGCATCAACCGCCACCTTGACGATCATGCTTTCAACGGTTTCTTCGGCGTGCTTGCCAAAGGGCATGTGCGCCCATCCCACCATCGCTGCCGTCATGAGATTTCCTCCAAATGAGCCTGTTGAGCGGTAAGGGCATCCCGGCACGGGCCAGCAGAAGCTGACCGGCCTGATGTCCACCTTACGGACACTTCGCTGTCCGGGACAGTCCCAGCTTCCATGCTGCTTTGCAAGAAGAAATTGACCTTTACGTCATTAATTTCTCATTATCCCTTTTTTTTCAAGTATTTATATAAAGTCAAAACTCGATTTCTCATCCGCCCAGCCAATCACGGATCGTCGGCATTTAGAAAAACGACGGCTGACGACGATCTGTTTCATAGCACTGTCACGTTTACCGGGTAACTGCATCCCCGTTGGAGAAAGACATTATTCTATCGCATTTTATCGCATCGCCGGTTCTGCCCAGCAGGACCGGCTTTTTACTTTTTCAACATCGGTTTTCCATGAATTGCCGCGCCCTCTTACACACGTGCACACGATTTTCTGAACAATGTAACTTGACCTCATGATCCGCGGCCTATAGCGATTCAAAGCGCTTTGAATTATCAATCCGCGCGTGACGCGGAATGGAGACCGGGAATGTTTGAAGAAGCCGAAACGGGCCAGGAGGCCGTCATGCCTGATACGAGGATCATAGGTTCGGACTGGTGGCGCGGTGCGGTGATCTACCAGATTTATCCGCGGTCCTTCAACGACAGCAATGGAGACGGTATCGGTGACCTCAACGGGGTGACCGAACGCATGGACTACATTGCCTCGCTCGGTGTTGACGCCATCTGGTTGTCGCCGTTCTTCACCTCTCCCATGGACGATTTCGGGTATGATGTTTCGGACTATGAGGATGTCGACCCGATGTTCGGGACGCTGGCCGATTTCGACCGCATGACGAAGGCAGCTCACGGGCGCGGACTCAAGGTCATGATCGATCTGGTGATCTCGCACACGTCCGATCAGCATCCCTGGTTCAAGGAAAGCCGGTCCTCGAAGGACAATTCCAAAGCGGACTGGTTTGTCTGGGCCGATGCCAAGCCGGACGGCACGCCCCCCAACAACTGGCTGTCGCTCTTTGGTGGTCCCGCCTGGGAGTGGGACAGCCGGCGCTGCCAGTATTACATGCACAATTTCCTGGCGAGCCAGCCGGATCTCAATTTCCACAACGGGGATGTCCAGGATGCCGTTCTGGACGTTGCAAGGTTCTGGCTTGATCGCGGTGTCGACGGCTTCCGTCTGGACACGGTGAACTTCTACTTCCACGATGCGGATCTCAGGGACAATCCGCCGCTCAGCGCCGGTGAAGCACCGTCAACGGTTGATCCGACCAACCCTTACGGTTTTCAGGATCATCTTTATGACAAGACCCGGCCGGAAAACCTCGTGTTCCTGGAAAGGTTCCGGGCGCTGCTGGACAAATATCCCGGATCGACCTCCGTGGGTGAAATCGGTGCGGACGGCCAGGCCGTCGAACTGACTGCCGCCTATACGGAAGCAGACAAGCGTATCCACATGGCCTACAGCTTCGATCTTCTCACGCCACAGCATTCGGCATCGTATGTCCGCCGTATCGTCGAGGACATGAACGCGGAAATAGGGTCGGGCTGGGCCAGTTGGGCCCTTTCGAACCATGATGTCAAACGAGTTGCGACACGCTGGGGAGAAGGCAAGGACGTCTCAAGGTTCGCGCCACTTGTTACCGCACTTTGCGCGTCGTTGCGCGGAACACCCTGCCTCTATCAGGGAGAAGAACTCGGTCTGACACAGGCTGACGTCCCGTTCGAGAAACTTCAGGATCCCTATGGCATTCGCTTCTGGCCGGAATACAAGGGCCGCGATGGTTGCCGCACTCCGATGCCATGGGTAAAGGACAATGCCAATGCGGGCTTTTCGGAGGCCGAGCCCTGGCTCCCCGTCGCCCCTGAACATCTTGCGCTTGCGGCATTCGAACAGGACAAGGACGAGACGTCGATCCTTTGCAGGAACCGCGCTTTTTTCACTTGGCGGCAGAACAAAACCGCTCTCAAGAAGGGCGACATGGTGTTCCTTGAAAGCAGCGACGAGACGCTTGTCTTCACCCGGAGCTACAGAAACGAGATGATCCTGTGTGCCTTCAATCTGGCCGATAAAGAGGTGACAATAACCCTTGACGGTCTCGATCTGGAAAACCTCAACGCACCAGGCTTTGCAGGCACGATCCTGGGCAACGAGATTACACTCGGTGGCCTCGATGCAGTCTTTGCCAGAATAAATTCCTGATTTACATGCTTCAAAAGAACTCCCGGCGCGGCTAAAACAGGCGCGCCGGTCTGTCTCCGGTGCCTTTGACAACCTGCCGGACCCTGAATGACCAACCGCCTGCCCTTGTCTGCCTTTATCATTGCCAGGAACGAAGCCGACCGCATTTCCCGGCCAATCCGAAGCGTGATCGACTGGGTGGACGAGGTTATCGTCATCGATAGCGGATCGACGGACGACACGATCGCCGTTGCCGAGAAGCTCGGCGCCAGGATCGTCCACAAGGACTGGCAGGGCTACGGACCGCAAAAGCGGTGCGGTGAAGACCAGTGCCGCAACGACTGGCTGTTGAACCTTGATGCCGATGAAGAGGTTACCGAAGACCTCGCCACCGAGATCCGTGCAAAGTTTTCCGACAACAGCTATCGCGATGCCGATGGCTGGCGCATCATGATCCGGGACATGTATGCCCACGAAACGGAACCGGCGCCGTGGGCTTACGGTTATAACCAGATCCGGCTATACGACCGGCGCAAGGGCCGGTTTTCAGATTCAAGCGTCCATGACACGGTACGCCCGGTTGACGGCGCGACGATTGCAAATCTTTCCGGCATCATGGCCCACCGCTCGATCCGCTCGCTCGACTTTCAGGTGTGCAAATACAACCGGTATTCCGGCATGCAGGTAGAAGACATGCGCACGCGCGGCCGCAAACTGCCCCGTTCCCGTTTGCTTACCGAATTTCCAGTCAGCTTTTTCAAGGCCTATTTCGTCCGCAAGTACCGCAAGTACGGCTGGTGGGGCTTCATTCTGTCCATGAACTATGCCCACGCCCGGTTCCTGCGCGTCGCGAAGGCCTATGAGGCGGAACTGCTTGCCGGGAAACAACGATAGCGACCGTTTCCCGGTCTTCCTAACCCGACGCTTTCACAGGCTCCTCCAGCACCGCGTGCCGTTCCACGCGGATCGGCTGACGAACACCGGTCGTGTGATGGAAATGCTCAAGGCGCCGGATGGTCGTCGGCGTCAGCGTGTGATTGCGCGACAGCACCAGTTCGTGACTGTTTTCCGCCAGAACGTCGTCGATAAGAATGTCGCCCGGCCGAAGAGAACGGATATAGCATTCCGAAATCTGACCCTTCCTGTCTTCCGCCACATCGTCCAGGAGCACTTTTCTGGCGGCCTCCAGAAGTTCGGGATCGTATTTGCTCTTCTTGATCATCAACGCTTCGAACGCGGCAACATCCGGCCCGTGTTCCGGACTGGCGTACCACAGATCGGTCAGGAGCTTGAGAATGCGGGATATCTTCGGAATCTCGCTGCCGGTGGGGCCGTCCTTGGGAAATCCGGACCCGTCAAATCCGCGAGCGGACAGGAACAACAGCTCGGACACCTTTTCCAGCTGAGGAATATTCTGCAGGAGGTCCCGCGTCTGACCCGGCGACCGGTCAAGCACGTCTCTTTCCTGCTCTGTCAGGCTGCGCGCGGCCCGATAGCGCGCAAGGATCTGCTTGGGCAGCAAAGCTTCACCAAGCGGTGACAGCATAACCGCCATTTCCAGTTCCCAGGTTTTCCTGATGCCGATTTCCTTCGCCAGCCTCAATGCCTGTTTGCGTACGGTCGCAGTGCGCCGAAACGCCTCGGGATGAAAAAGCCCGAGCATATCGATCAGCAATTTGACCGAGCCCGCGAGCGTCCGCTCCAGCATCGCCCGGTCCTTGGCCTGTTGCCGGTGATATGCGAGCGCGGTTTCAAGTGCATTTGCAAGGTCTTCGGGGCGACACGGCTTTTCGAGAAACATGAAGGCACGGCCTTCGTTCAGTGTCTTCTTGACAGCCTCGGCGGATGTCTCGCGGGTCAGCATAAGCCTTGCAGCCTGGGGCACGATCATTTCCGACGCCCTCAGGAATGCCGTTCCACCTCGACCGGGCAGATTGAAACACGAAAAGATCACCGCGGTGTTTGTGTTCTGTTTGAGAAATTGCAGGGCTTCTTCAGAGTCGGAAAAGCAATTTACCTTGTAGTGGTCACCGAACAGACGTTGAAACGCTTTCCGCACCGCAATGTCCGGGTCAACGACGACGATAGGGTCAGTTGCTGTTTCCATGAATCGTGCCTCATGCCAAAGACCGACCGGAACTTGTGCTTTCGTCAGCCGTATCTTCCGCGCAGGATCTCATGTGACGGATAACAAATACTTGCGAAACCCGGCATCTACTGTCAGCACTTTTCGCGGGGGTGTGTAATGTTCCCAGAAGTTTGTGCGTTCGACGGTGGCCTTTTACGCGAAAGTCGACCTATAAGGCCCCATGCTTGATGTGCTTGTTATCGGTGCCGGCCCGGCTGGTCTATTTGCTGCTGATCATCTGTCCACGCGAGGACACTCGGTCACAATTATCGACCAGATGGCGTCGCCGGCCCGCAAATTTCTCATGGCTGGTCGAGGCGGTCTCAATCTGACGCACAGTGAAGACCTGCCGACTTTCCTGTCCCGCTATCGGGAGGCAGAGCGTTTTCTCACTCCCTTGATAAACGCCTTTCCACCACAGGCGCTGACAGACTGGTGCCACGATCTGGGTCAGGAAACCTTCGTTGGATCAAGCGGGAGAGTTTTTCCGAAGACCATGAAAGCCTCACCGCTGCTGCGTGCGCTGTTGCTCAGACTGCAAGCCAACAGGGTTCAACTCCGGGTGCGGCACAGGTTTACCGGCCTGGACGACAACGGTTCAGTGCTGGTCGAGACCGGGAACGGAGGCTCGGAGACCCTGTCCGCACGCACGGTTCTGCTTGCGCTCGGCGGGGCGAGTTGGCCCAAACTCGGCGCCACGGCAACCTGGAGTCCCGTGCTCGAGGAACGAGGCATAACAGTGACACCATTTCAGCCCGCCAATTGCGGGTTTCTGGTGTCCTGGAGCCCCTTTCTGACTGAAAGATTTTCCGGATCTCCCTTGAAGCGAATTGGAATAAGTGTCGGCGACCGGTCCATACTTGGAGAAGCCATCCTCTCGGCAAGGGGATTGGAAGGCGGTGCGATTTACGCGCTTTCGGCGGACATCCGGGAGATCATCAACCGGGAAGGATCGGCAAGCCTGCTGCTGGATCTCCGTCCCGCGATGAGTGCATCGGACCTTGCCGCGAAACTGTCGCGACCACGCGGAAAACAGTCACAATCCACTTTCTTGAAGAAGACGCTCAAACTGAATGCCGTCGAACTGGCTCTTCTTCGAGAATCGGGTCCATTGCCGGGCGACACGGATCTTCTTGCTGAACGGATCAAGTCGATACCCGTCACTTGTCTTTCGCCCTATCCAATGGATCGGGCGATCTCGTCTGCCGGTGGCATCGCCCTTGAGGAACTCGACCCGGACCTGATGCTCAGGAAAATGCCCGGTGTCTTTGCGGCCGGAGAAATGCTGGACTGGGAAGCTCCGACGGGCGGATACCTGTTGCAAGCCTGTTTCGCCACCGGCCACCATGCGGCAGAAGGTATCGTGCGCTATCTGGACAACATGACAAAAGGAGAAGCCGGATGACGGTCCTGTATGTGGATGCGGACGCCTGTCCGGTGAAAAACGAAGCAGTCCGCGTCGGCGAACGTCACGAGGTCGCAATCAAGTTCGTTTCCAACAGCTGGATGCGCCTGCCCGAGGGAGACCTGATCGAGCGAGTGATGGTTCCCGAAGGGCCGGACGAGGCCGACAACTGGATTGCGGAACGAGCCCAGCCCGGCGATGTCGTCGTGACAGCAGACGTGCCACTTGCTGCCCGTTGCGTGAAGGCCGGGGCGCTTGTCATCGGACCATCAGGGAAACCCTTCCGCGAGGACGGCATAGGCATGCGTCTGGCCATGCGCGATCTGAATACGCATTTGCGGGAAACCGGTGAAATCCGGGAAGGCGGTCCGGCATTTACAAAGGCGGACCGGTCCCGGTTCCTCAATCAACTTGAAACGACCATGCGTGCGGCGAAGAGAATCTCGACAGGTTAGCCGGTTCAATTGACGACGACGGCAATCTCCGCCCGGTCGGTCTGGACATAAGATTAAAACGAAAACTCCCTGCAAGGCTGGGAGGAAACCTTGCAGGGAGACGCCGGAGACACTCGCAAGTGTCGTAAGTGGACCGGCTTGTTATTGCATTGTCTTTTGATCTGCCGAGACCGCTGACCGGTCCCGGTAAACTGAAAGCCTTAGCGGCAGAACTTGTACTGACCGGAATAGGCCAGGAAATAACCGGTGTTCGGATTGAAGGACCGGTACTTGGCACGGCAGTAGTTGAACCAGGCCGGCGACCAGGGAGCTGCGCGGTAGGTGACAACCGGAGCCGGTGCCGGGTAGTAGGCAGGCGGCGGTGCATAGTAGCGTGGTGCCGCGTAGCGACGCTGTGACAGCGCGGAGCCGATGATTGCGCCCGCAGCAAGGCCACCTGCGATCCCTGCGCCGACACGCCAGCCATTTCCAGCTTCAGCGGTTGTTGACTGCGAGGTCAGCATGACACCTGCGACAAGAGCGAGGGCGGTGGTGGTGGTTGCGATCTTCCTGAACATTTCGGTGTCCCTTCTTGGTTGCGAGGCACTCGTTGTCTCTCCGCCTCAACTCATGAAAGGACACTAGACCAGCACTGTCCGGGGCTCTGTGACCGGGGTCACAAGGATTCCGTTTGTTGAAAATCGGCATTTTCGACCGTGAATTCATCTCTCACACTAGTTTCACTTGCCTAAGAGCCACCTCAGACATACATTGACCCTCATCGGCGCGCGTTGCGTCGTACGGGACATGACGAAAGACCCGGTTAGACTGACTTCGGCAGAGCTCTTTGGAGTGCTGCTCTGAAAACCCAAGCTTTCCGTTTCTTATTGACTTCTCGTTTATCCGCGCCTTGCCGGAAACGGGAATGCGCACAAATCAACGGAAAGGTTTCTCCATGCGTGAGAACGGCACCATCAAGTTTTTCAATCACGACCGCGGCTTCGGTTTCATCACACCGGACAATGGCGGCAAGGACGTATTCGTCCACGTGACTGCATTCGAGCAGGCCGGAATCGGTGCACCGGTCGAAGGTGCAAAGATTTCATTCGTCGCTGAAGACGATCGCCGTGGCCGCGGCAAGCAGGCAGCTCAACTCGAAATGCTCTGAGTTTCAGGTCTGCGGACCAATTCTGAGCCGCTCGAGACGAGCAAAACGAAAACGGGGCCCAGCGGCCCCGTTTTTGTTTCCCAGACAAATGACCCGCAGGTACAAAGACGGCGTTGGCGAAAAAGTCAGCCCCTACGTATCGTGGCCGGGACGCTTTCATCGGCAACTCAAACGCACTGTTTCGTCGCCCCCGCCCGCACCGTGATGAAAGGTGCGCGATCCTTTTGAGCGAAGCTATGGAATCTTGATTGCACTCACCGTCACTTGAGCATGCAGTCGAGCAATTCTTTTTCGCCTATCACTCCGACGATAGCACCGTCCTTTTGAACCACAACGGGTTCTGAACTGGACTTCTTCAGCTTTGCGACCTCACGGACCGGTGTGGCGCTTTCGCAGGTCAGGCCGCTCGCGAGGGAGCCCGGCAGGCTTCCCGGAGGCACCATGATGTCCCGGGCACGGAGCACGTTGAGCGGATTCATGTGACTGACGAAATCGGCGACATAGTCATCGGCTGGATTCTTGACGATCTCCTGGGGCGTGCCGAGCTGAATGACCCGGCCGCCTTCCATGATTGCGATACGTGAACCGATCTTAGCTGCCTCATCCAGATCGTGGCTGACAAAGATGATTGTCCGATTCAGTTCTTTCTGAAGATCAAGCAACTCGTCCTGCAGCTTGTCGCGGATTAGCGGGTCGAGAGCCGAAAACGGTTCGTCCATCAACAGTATCGGTGCATCGGTGGCAAAGGCACGGGCGAGGCCGACACGCTGCTGCATGCCACCGGAAAGTTCATGGACGTATTTCTCGCCCCAGCCGGCCAGACCGACAAGTTTCAGCTGTGCGTCCACCTTCGAGGTGCGTTCCTTGGGTGACATGCCTGAAAGCTCGAGACCGAACCCGACGTTCTCGGACACTGTGCGCCAGGGCAGCAGGCCAAATTGCTGAAACACCATGGCGATGCGGTGCCTTCGCAGTTCACGCAGATCATTTGCCGAGCAGGTTTCCGGATTGACGTACTGATTGCCGTCATGCACCTGTACCTCGCCGCGGATGACAGGGTTGAGGCCATTGACCGCGCGCAGCAGTGTGGACTTGCCGGAGCCCGACAGGCCCATCAGCACCAGCACTTCTCCCTCGTAAATGTCCAGGCTGGCTCCGGCTACGCCCAGGATCTGACCCGTTTCGGCCTGAATCTCCTGCCTTGTCTTGCGCGCATCGATCAGCGGCAATGCAGACTTGGGGTTTTCACCGAAGACGATGTCAACATCCCTGAAGGTGACAACGGGTGTTCTGGATGCATCGGTCATCGCTTGCCTCCTTCTTCTTTTCTGAAGAACCGATCAAGCACGATGGCAATGAGAACAATGCAAACGCCAACCTCAAAGCCCTGCGCGATATTCACTGTGTTCAACGCTCGCAGCGTTGGCACACCGAGACCATCGGCACCAACCAGAGCGGCAATCACGACCATGGAAAGCGACAACATGATCGTTTGGGTCAGCCCGGCCATGATTTGAGGAAGCGCGTAAGGCAACTCTACTTTCCATAGGAGTTGAGATTTCGTTGCGCCGAAAGCCTCCCCTGCTTCAAGCAAAGATTTCGGTGTCGAAGAGACGCCCAGTTGGGTGAGGCGAATAGGCGCCGGGATCGCGAAGATAACGGTTGCGATCAGCCCCGGAACCATACCCAATCCAAAAAGGATCAAGGCGGGGATGAGATAAACGAAAGTGGGAATGGTCTGCATCAGGTCGAGAACCGGGCGCATTGCTGCATAAAAGCGCGGATTGTGGGCTCCCATGACGCCCACCGGCACGCCGACAACCATGCAGACAACCGCGGCTGCAACAACAAGAGCGAGCGTTTCAGTCGTTTCTTCCCAATAGCCCTGGTTGATGATGAGCAGCAGCGCGATTGCGACAAATAACGCAAACGCAATTTTCCGGTGGACGGCGTAGCCGAGTGCAACCGCCAAGACGACAATGACCAGTGGTGGCGGTGTTTGAAGAAGCCACAATATGCCATCGATCAACGTCTCCAGAAAAATTGAAATGCCGTCGAACACCCATGCGGCGTTATCAGTCAGCCAATCAAAAAAGGCCTTCGCCCATGGTCCGATCGGCAATTTGTTTTCTGTCAACCAGTCCAACCCGCTGCTCCGGTACTTGTTCTTATTTTGGAAAAAGCGCCGGGCAGATGATCCGCACCGGCGCCCAACTGGGCTTTACTCGACGCCAAGGGCGCCTTTCACCGCAGCGAAGCTATCGCCGCCATCAAAGGTTTTGACCCCGACAAGCCAGCTTTCGAACGTTGCCGGGTGTACCTTCAGCCACGCAGCGGCCGCCTTGTTCGGATCTTCGCCATCATTCAGGATTGCGCCCATGATCTCGTTTTCCATTGCCAGCGAGAACTCGAGGTTTTCAAGAAACTTGCCAACGTTGGGGCACTCTTTGGTGTAGCCTGCACGGACGTTGGTGTAGACCGTCGCGCCTCCGAAATTCGGGCCGAAAACTTCGTCACCGCCTTCAAGATAGGCCATCTCGAAATTGGCGTTCATCGGATGCGGTTCCCATCCGAGGAATACAATGTCGTTATCACGCTTTCCAGCCCGGGCGACCTGCGCGAGCATGCCCTGCTCGGAGGATTCAACCACTTCGAACCCCTCCAGACCAAAAAGGTTCTGGTCGATCATGCCGATGATCAGACGGTTGCCGTCATTGCCCGCCTCAATGCCATAGATCTTGCCATCGAGATCATCCTGGAACTTGGCAATGTCCTGGAAACTCTTCAGACCCTTGTCATAGGTGTATTTCGGAACGGCCAGCGTATATTTGGCACCTTCCAGATTGGCTCGCACGGTTTCGACCGAACCATCTTCCCGATAGGCCTTGATGTCACCTTCCATCGTCGGCATCCAGTTACCGAGGAAAATATCAATGTCATTGTTCTTCATTGAGGCGTAGGTCACCGGAACAGACAGGATCTTGACTTCAGGATCATAACCGAGCGCTTCCAGAACGACGGACGTTGCCGCGGTGGTTGCAGTGATGTCCGTCCAGCCCACGTCAGAAAAACGAACTGTCTTGCAGGCTTCCGGCTCGCTTGCAAGCGCTGTTCCGGACAGCATCAGGCCAAGTGCAAGACCTCCAGCGAGTGTCGCTGCGATTTTCATGAGTATACCTCCTATGGAATGTGAAATTTTTGTTTGGGCCATTTTGAAATACTGGAAGCGAATTCACGCTCAGGCTTAAGTGCCCCCGATTTATTCTCCAATAGCCTGCTCCTGACCAATCCAAACATCCACGGAAAAATTTTGCAAGTTTTCATTGATTGACTGATCAATTAAAAATAAGAAAAAAGAAACTCGGAGATCACGATGCCCAAGGTCGGAATGGAAGCGGAACGACGGCGCAGTCTCATTGACGCAACCGTCGATGCGATCCACGAGCGTGGATACAGTGACATTACCATGGCTCAGATCGCCAAGCGGGCGGGTGTTTCCGGTGGTTTGGTACATCACTATTTTGGCTCGAAAGATCAATTACTTGCAGCAACGATGCGGCATCTTCTGACCGAACTCGGCCGTGCCATTCGTGACAAGCTCGCAAAGGCCGAAACACCACGTGAACGAATCTCCGCGATCATCGCCGGTAACTTTGCAATCGACCAGTTTCAACCGGCCGTCATCGCGGCGTGGCTGGCGTTTTATGTCCAGTCCAGAACAACGGACAGCAACAATCGTCTCCTGCGAATCTACGCCGCTCGGCTTGCATCCAACCTCACCCACAACCTCAGATCGTTCATGCCACAGGAAGAAGCCCGCCGGATCGCCGAGGGTACAGCCTCCATGATCGACGGTGTGTGGATCCGGCAGGCCCTGAGCGGTGCCCGATCCGACCATCAAGCCGCTATTGCAATGGTCGAAGACTACGTCGAAACCCAGATTGCCGCCCTTGCGGGTCGCACCAACGGCTGCTGAGCCGGAGCTTTTTCATGCCTGACCAGTTTGATTTCATCATCGTGGGCGCCGGATCAGCCGGCTGCGCGATGGCCAGCCGCCTCTCCGAAGACCCGAACAACAAGGTCCTGGTGCTGGAATTCGGCGGAACGGATATCGGCCCGCTGATCCAGATGCCGGCTGCCCTCTCCTATCCGATGAACATGCCGTTTTATGATTGGGGTTACGAAAGCGAGCCTGAACCGCACCTTGGAGGACGCCGCCTGGCAACTCCACGCGGCAAAGTCATCGGCGGCTCGTCCTCCATCAACGGCATGGTCTATGTGCGCGGTCATGCGTGTGATTTCGATACCTGGGAAGAGATGGGTGCCAGCGGCTGGGGCTATCGGCATGTGCTTCCTTACTACAAGCGCATGGAGCAGAATCCGCAAGGTCAGGAAGGTTGGCGCGGGACCGACGGACCGCTGCACGTTCAGCGGGGCACCAAATGGAACCCGCTGTTTCACGCGTTCCGCGATGCGGGCCGTCAGGCCGGCTACGGCGTTACCGAAGACTACAATGGTGAAAAACAGGAAGGCTTCGGCGACATGGAGATGACGGTCCACAAGGGCCGACGCTGGTCAGCTGCCAATGCCTATCTGAAGCCAGCCCTGAAGCGCGGCAACCTGGAACTCATAAAGGGGGCCCTGGTTCGCAAGGTTCTGATCGAGAACAACCGGGCTGTCGGTGTGGAATTCGAAATCGGAGGGGAAATACGCGTTGCCAACGCACAGCGCGAGGTCATTCTCTCAGCCTCTTCCGTCAACTCACCCAAGATCCTGATGCTGTCCGGGATCGGTCCTGCCGACCAGCTTACAGATCTCGGCATCGATGTTGTCTCTGACCGCCGGGGTGTCGGTGCCAACCTGCAGGATCACCTGGAACTTTACATTCAGCAGGCCTGCACCCAACCGATCACGCTCTACAAACACTGGAATCTCTTTTCCAAGGCGCTGATAGGCGCACAATGGCTGTTTTTCAAAAATGGTCTGGGCGCGTCGAACCAGTTCGAGAGCTGCGCCTTCATCCGCACGAAAGCCGGCGTACAATATCCCGATATCCAGTATCATTTCCTGCCCTTTGCCGTGCGTTACGACGGTCAGGCAGCGGCGGAAGGTCATGGTTTCCAGGCACATGTCGGCCCGATGCGGTCGAAGTCACGCGGCCGGGTGAAACTGTCGTCGAACGACCCGAAAGACAAACCCTCGATCCTCTTCAACTACATGTCCCACAACGAGGACTGGGAGGACTTCAGGACTTGCATCCGTCTGACCCGGGAAATTTTCAGTCAGGAAGCCTTCGCCCCTTATCGTGGCAAGGAAATCCAGCCGGGAGACAGCGTGCAGAGCGACGTAGCGCTCGACGACTTTATCCGGGAGCACGTGGAAAGCGCTTATCATCCGTGCGGCACATGCAAGATGGGCGCTTCAGACGACCCGATGGCGGTGGTCGATCCCGAGTGCCGTGTCATCGGTGTCGAGGGTCTGCGCGTGGCGGACAGCTCGATCTTTCCGCAAATCACCAATGGCAACCTCAACGGACCGTCCATTATGGTTGGCGAGAAGGCAGCCGATCATATCCTTGGCAAGGATCCGCTGCCGCCTTCGAACCAGCAACCGTGGATCCATCCGGACTGGGAAAACAGTCAACGTTAAAGAATTGCCGGACAGCCGGTCTCAAGACACAAGCAGGAGCAATCCAATGCGCGCCCAACCGAAAGCTTCGCACTATGTCGGCGGGTCTTATCTGGAAAGCCAGACAGGCACACCTTTCGATTCGTTCTACCCGGCAACCGGTGAAGTGATCGCCCGGGTCCACACCGCCGATGATGCGGTCATCGAAGCTGCGATTTCCGCAGCGCGCACCGGCCAGGAGATCTGGGCGGCCATGCCGCCGGCCGAACGCGGCCGGATATTGCGCAAGGCTGCAGACATCCTGCGGGAAAAGAACCGCGAACTTTCAGTCCTGGAAACTCTGGACACGGGCAAGCCGCTGCAGGAAACACTGATTGCGGATGCAGCATCCGGTGCCGATTGCCTGGAGTATTACGGCGGCCTGGCGGCGACACTTACCGGTGAGCATATCGACCTTGGCGGCTCGTTTGCCTACACAAAGCGGGAACCGCTCGGCATCTGCTTCGGGATCGGTGCGTGGAACTATCCGATCCAGATTGCCTGCTGGAAAGCGGCTCCGGCTCTTGTCTGCGGCAATGCGATGATTTTCAAGCCGTCGGAAGTCACCCCGTTGAGTGCGTTGAAGTTCGCGGAAGCTCTGACCGAAGCAGGTCTGCCGGACGGTGTGTACAACGTCATACAGGGGTTCGGCGATGTCGGCGCAAAGATGGTGGCTCATCCGGACATTGCCAAAGTGTCTCTGACCGGTTCCGTGCCGACTGGAGCGAAGGTGGCGTCGCTGGCGGGTGAGCATCTCAAGAAGACAACGCTTGAGCTCGGCGGCAAGTCGCCTCTGATCATCTTTGACGATGCCGATGTTGAAAATGCGATTTCAGCGGCGATCAATGCAAATTTCTATTCCACCGGCCAGATCTGTTCCAACGGCACACGCGTCTTCGTGCACAAGGCTATCAAGGAACAATTCCTTTCCCGCCTTGCAGAACGAACATCCAGTGCCGTGCTCGGCGATCCGCTGGATGAAGCAACAAATATCGGCCCGCTGGTTTCCAGGCAGCAATTCGACAAGGTGCTGTCCTACATGCAGATAGGCCAGGACGAAGGCGCCCGCCTTGTCTGCGGTGGCGGGTCTGCACAGGTCGACAGTTTTCCTGAAGGCTATTTCGTCCAACCGACGGTCTTTGCGGACGTTCGGGACAACATGCGTATTGCACGGGAAGAGATTTTCGGTCCAGTGCTCAGCGTTCTCGACTTCGGAGATGAAGACGAGGTCGTTGCGCGTGCCAATGACACGGAATTCGGGCTTGCAGCCGGCGTGTTTACCAAGGACATCCAGCGGGCGCATCGTGTGATCGGCAAACTGGAGGCAGGCACCTGCTGGATCAATACCTATAACCTGACCCCGATTGAAATGCCGTTCGGCGGTTACAAGAAATCCGGCATCGGCCGGGAAAACGGTCACGCCGCGATCGAGTATTACAGCCAGATCAAAAGCATCTATGTTGAAATGGACGGGGTGGAAGCGGCGTTCTAGAGGCGTCCCCGTATCTGACAAGGGCGGTTTCCGGGAACGTGACCCGGATTCCGCCTTTTTTGTTTCCGCGCGTTTTTTCACATTGAAGTTTATTGTGCGACAGCCAGATTAGAAGGCAACCCATTCAACTCCGACTGGAGATCGCATGAACCGGCAAGTGCTAGACCCTGCACCGAGAAGCTACGTACAGCATATCTATCTGCTTGCTCGCTCCAACAGGGGCGCGGCCTGTGCGCCAGACACACAAAACCTGCAAGATGTGCATGACTGGTTGCTGCATGATGCGACCCGGATCGACAATGTCATGCTGATGTTCGAGGAATTCATGTGGCGTTGCAGAGCGGCCAACCTTGGCATCGACAGGTGTACGCTGCATATCGGTACACTCCACCCCAGGGTCGTCGGATTTTCCTGGGTCTGGAACAGCACGGATGAACTGTGCGACGAAATCGCGGCAGATGCCAACGCGGTCAACAATGTCGCCTTCACAAAGAACCCGCTCTACCGGGTGATGCGGGAGGGCGAGATCATCAAGGTGGATCTTGAGACCGAGGAAGGTGTCAATTCCGGTTCGCTCATGCAGGATCTCGCCGAACAGGGATACACGGCTTATGTCGCCCTTCCCCTGAGCACGGCGGGCGAAATGCACAACGCCATGACGTTCGCGACGAAACGACCTGGAGGATTTCCGCCCGTCGACAAGGAACGCATTCGCGGTTTGATCGACCTCCTGGCACTGCATGTTGAACGGCACATCGTGCAGCGGATCGCGCGCAATGTTGCCGATACCTACCTCGGACCGATTGCCGGACGCCGCGTCCTTGATGGCGAAATCCGGCGCGGCGATGGCGAAGCGATCAAGGCAGTGGTGTTCATGTCGGACATGCGCGGTTTCACGCAGCTCGCGGACCGCCTCAGCGGGCCCGAAGTCACCTGCATCCTGAATGCTTATTTCGACCGTGTGTCCGACGCCGTTCTGAACCATGGCGGCGATATTCTGAAATTCATGGGAGACGGTATTCTTGCCGTCTTCGATCAGGAAGTCCTCGGGGAAAAGGCTGCAGCGGAAGCAGCGGTGAAGGCATCCAGGGAGGCGCTTTCGGCCATCGACGAGCTCAACGATACGCCGCCTGCAACCCTGCCTGATCCCGACCTGTGGCAACCGCTCAAGATCGGCATCGGATTGCATCGCGGCGAGGTCTTTTTCGGCAATGTCGGCGGGGAAGACAGACTGGACTTCACCGTCATCGGCCGTGCAGTGAACGAGACCAGCCGCGTGGAATCCCTGTGCAAGCCTCTCGGACAGGAACTGTTGATGACCGCGCCCGTCAAGGAGGCACTTTCGGGTGACCTGCAGACCGGTCTCAATGAAATGGGGGAACACGCCTTGCGCGGCGTTGGCAAGCCGGTCGCCATTTTTGCTGCCTGAAGAGAGAATGCGGCCAGTAACTTGACGAAGCTGCAGGTGTCATACCCTTGCCAGCAGGGAGCCAGCAGCCTCTGAAGAGGGCAGTATTCCAAATCCGGACGGAGTGGAACACCGGATCCCGGTCTCACCACCAACGCGGCCAACCGGGATGACACGGTAGCAGGTTTGGCAGATCACTTCGTCAGAATCAATTTGCCCTGTTTCGTAATCGACAGGCGATAGGTGTCTTCATTGTGCAGGATCTGGATCTGGCGCAGACCGCTGAAGAGGTCGCGCGAATCAAATTCTGTTTTTGCCTGTGGTGGCAGCTTTCCTGCCAAGACGTGAGGGGAGCTGCCCGAGGAAGTAATTGAGAGGCGGCGCTTTTGGCTGTTGGCGGTAAGTGTCATACGCGCAATCGGTCCCTGGCCTTTGCTTTTGCGCTCCACGAATGGGTTTCCACGGAGCGTCCAGATAAGAACAATTAAAAGGTGAGTTTCTTACTCAACTTTATACTTGACACTCATACTCAAGTTTTCCTATCAAGGCAATGCCTGATCGAAACGGAACTGGAAATCGCGTCCTCCGGTTTTGAAAGAGACAGGGTCTTCGGTTCACCGGAGACGAAAAATGCCAGGCCAGCCAACCGCCCTCTCCTCTCCCTCAGCGGCTAGCCAGCCCGGCCTTTTCTTCAGGCGCCGACCGGCGCGCGATTGTCTTGAGTGTTTTGCGAATGAACCCGTTTGCATCAACACCGGATAATACAATGCTCACGCAGCAAGCGGTGCGATGTATCTGGATGGCGGATACGAAAAAAGCGCCGACCTGACGGTGGCGCCTTTCAAAACACAAAAATGGCCGCTTTTATGCGTTGGCAGCGATCGGTGTTTCGCCGACATCGATCTTCAAGAGATCGCGCATGCCGAACCGGTCCTCAGACAGATCCGCAATCGACTTGGTGTCCAGAACATCCATAAAGGCTTCAAGAGCTTCATGCAGCAAGCCGTTGAAGCCGCAGGACATGATCAGCGGGCAATCCTTGCGGCCGGAGTCGAAACACTCTGCCAGAAGAAAGCTTTCCTCGGCAGCCCGAACAACTTCTCCGACAGTTATCTCTTCGGCGGGGCGGGCCAGCATGACACCGCCGTTTCGGCCTCGGATCGTTCTGATCAGATTCGCGTCGACCAGCACTTTCATGATCTTGAACAAGTGGGTTTCGGACATGTCGAAGCTAGCTGCGATGTCGGCAACCTTGCTCGGCTTGTCCGGGTTGACGGCGCAATACATAAGTGCGCGCACGGCATAATTGGTCTGTTGTGTCAATCGCATCACGTAGATATGCGTCGCGCTGCCTCAAACGTCAATGCAAAATTTGAATGTACGAGTGTACTTTTAGAAATCCGGGCCAGTTCAGGACAGCTCTGGCAGGTTGTCCCTGATAAAAACATCAATGCCGATCCGTTCCTGTCCCTCGATGATAGGCACCCCGTCGCAGAGCGCTTTCAACACCCGTATCGCGCTGCGGATCTCATGACCCGGGTCCTGGGCGATCACCGCATCCATCACGCCGGAATTCAAGGCATCTCGCGTATAGGGCGTCAGTTCATGCCCTACAAAAACAAGACTGCCTGCTTGCGTGGGGGCGTTCAGTGCGGAAATGATTCCGCGATTTCCTGCGCCAATATTGTAGAGACCCGCAAGGTCGGCGTGTTCTTCCAGAAGCTTCCTGACAAGGTCGGCATTCCTTTTGTTGTCGTCCCGGCCTTCGCGAACCTTCAACATTTTGAGATGAGGGAAGCTGGAGGCGATGACCTCTTCGCAACCCGCGTAGCGTTCGGCATGGTCGCGCAAACCCAATGACCCTGCAATCAATCCGATCTTACCGGGACTTTCAGGGAGAAAGCGGCCGATCAACCGGCCGGCAGTACGACCTGCGGCCATGTTGTCGATGCCGACGAAGTGCTGGCGAGACGAAGCCGGATGGTCGGAAACAAGGGTCACCACCGGAACGCCACGGTCCTGAAGCCGGTCGATCGCCGCCCTGACTTCGGGAAAGGCCGGAGCGACGACCGCCACACCGTCACATACGGACCTGTCGAGGATCGCAAGTGTCCCGGCGACCCGATGGCCGTCGAATGCGTCGATCGGCTCAACATGCACCTGCATGCGATCACCGCTCATGGTTTGAGCATGGGACGCTGCCTCACGGGTCAGGTCTTCCATGAATGCGTTGGGTCCGTTGGGGATGAGAAAATGCAGCCTGTACACCCGTTTCTTGGCAAGACCGGCAGCAAAGACGTCAGGTTTGTAATTCAGACTTTCAACCGCTTGTTCCACGCGCTCGATCGTCGCCTTGCGCACCCCCGGCCGGCCATTGAGTACCCTGTCAACCGTTGCCAGGCTGACACCGGCGGCATTCGCCACGTCATGGATCGTCACGCGTTTCATTCGGTCCTCTCGCATTCAAGGCGAGTATACAAGCGAATGAGGAACGGTCATCAAAAAATGCTGCAACGCACTAATTCAAGGCGTAAGCGCATTTTTCATACAAACTGGCCGGCTGCATGACCGGACGACCAGGCCCATTGAAAATTGAAGCCACCCAGATGTCCCGTGACATCAACAACCTCGCCAATGAAAAAAAGTCCGGACACGCTGACACATTCAAAGGTCTTGGACGAAAGCTCCTTCGTATCCAACCCGCCAAGCGTCACCTCAGCCGTGCGATACCCTTCCGTGCCGACCGGCGTCAGTTGCCAGCGATTGAGCTGCTCTGACGCGCGGCGTAACACCTTGTCGGACTGATCCGCAAGCCGGCCTTTCAGTGAAAACGCGCTGGACAGTTCGTCGGCGAGCCGATTGGGAAGCCATTGGCCAAGCGCTGTCTTGAGATCCTGTTTCGGGCTGTCCTGCCGCGCACCACGCAGTGTTTCGAAGACATCAGTCTCAGGAAGCAGATTGACCCAGATCGGTCTGCCCTCCTCCCAGAAAGACGAAATCTGGAGGATCGAGGGTCCAGACAGACCGCGGTGGGTGAACAGCAGACCTTCGCGAAAGGTCGTTTTGCCGAAAGAGACCGCTGCATCGAGCGAAACACCGGCAAGGCGCCCGCAGAGTTCCTTATTGGCATCGGAAAATGTCAGCGGCACCAGGGCCGCCCGTGGTGGAATGACCTTCAGTCCGAACTGTTTTGCAAGCTCATAGCCAAAACCTGTCGCTCCCATTTTCGGGATCGACGGCCCCCCTGTGGCGACGACAAGGGAATGCGACCTTAGCGGCCCTTTCGACGTTGCAACGGAAAACCGTTCGTCCGGTTTCTCAACCGCCTTGATATCCGTTTCAAGCTGCAGGGTCCCACCCGCAGCTTCCAGTTCGGTGAGCAGCATCCGGATGATGTCTTTCGCACTTTCATCGCAAAAGAGCTGGCCGAGCGTCTTTTCGTGCCAGGGGATGCGGTGCCTTTCGACAAGACCCAGAAAGTCGTGTTGTGTGTAGCGTTTCAGAGCCGAGACACAGAAGCGCGGGTTCTGCGACAGGAAATTTGCGGACGTACAGTGCAGATTGGTGAAATTGCAGCGTCCACCCCCGGAGATACGGATTTTTTCCGCCGGCCGTCTGGCGTGGTCGATGACCAGAACCTTGCGCCCGCGCTTTGCCGCTTCAATCGCACACATCAAACCGGCGGCGCCGCCACCGAGCACAAGTACATCCAGATCACGCATGGGCGCGCTTATAGCGGGTTTGGGAGATGGAGGTAAGGGACGATTTTTTGGTGTCACCTTGTGAAAACTCAAACGCAGATCCGGGGTCCACGCGCAGATCAAGACACCGGCCATGCAGAAAGATTCATGTTCAGCGCAGCGAAAAAACAGGGCAGTTGAGCTTCACAAGCCCCGATTCAAGGCCGCAGCGCCAACATTGAGCTTACTCCACAAAAAAACGGCCGGCGGTTCTTTCGAACCGCCAGCCTGGCAAAATCTCTTCCAGAAAAGAAGAAACTTATTGCATTTCGGTCACGACCTCGAAGCCGTTGGAACCGACTTCGAACAGGGCATAGGTGCCCGGAACGTCGCCCTTGGCGTCGAAGTTGTGCTCACCTGCAGCGCCCTTGTAGTCGATGGCCTTACCGGCTGCGATCAGTTCCTTGGCCTTCTTCCATTCACCTGGAAGGATAGCCTCACCTTCGCCATTGGAAACTTCCGTTACGGCTGCAGCAACATCTTCCTTCTTGCCACCGGCCTTTTCCACGGCCAGAGCCAGCAGGAAGGCTGCGTCATAGGAGGTGTTTGCGAAGATCGCATCCGGATCGCCACCGACGCCCTTGAAAGCTTCGTTGAACTTGTCGAGGGATTCGGACTGTTCGCCGACCGGAGAAGACGACACGAAGTTGGACAGGTTTTCCGCGCCCAGTTCGTTGATCACGGCGTCGGACTTCATGCCGTCACCACCAACGAACTTGTCGAAGAAACCGTTCTCCAGCGCCTGACGCAGGATCGTCAGACCGGTTCCGTCACCATAGTCGAAGATGACCAGAGTGTCGGCGCCGCCCTTGGCGAGCTCTGCCAGGTTGGAACGGTAGGAAGCCTTGCCTTCTTCATGCGCTGCAAACTGGGTGATATCACCACCGAGTTCGTCGACATATTCAGCCTTGAACGCATTGGCGAGACCGGTGCCGTAGTCGTTGTTCAGATAGGCAACCGCGACCTTTCCGTATCCCATTTCCTTCATCGTACGCGCCAGGGCACGGCCTTGGAAATCGTCCGACGGGACGGTGCGGAACACGGTGCCCTTGTCTTCCAGTCCGGAGATTTCCGGAGACGTTCCGGACGGAGTGATCAACGTGATACCCGCCGGGATGGTCACCGAACCGGCTGCTGCCAGAACCGCGCCGGAGCAATGCGGACCGACAAGACCGACAACACCTTCGATGTTGACTGCCTTGGTCGCGGCATCCGTACCGCCTTGCGGGTTGCAGGCACTGTCGCCGACAACGCCAACCAGTTTTTCGCCGTCGCCGATACCACCCTGCTCATTGACCTGTTGAACGGCCAGCTGGGCCGCATCGATCATGGCAGGAGCCATGGCAGCGATCGGGCCGGAAACGCCGCCGATCAGACCGATCTTGACGTCGGCCTGTGCAGTAACGGACGCGAGAGCTGTTGCAGCCATCATGCCTGCGGCAAGTGCAAAAAGTTTGGTTTTCATAGGAGTACCTCCTCAATTATCCGGTCTTCGCCGGGTCTTTAGGAATTTCGGCTCCCACGCTTTGCAAAGGCGCGTGGACCCCGGGGAGCGGGCCTAATGCCGGTCCGCCCCGGATTTCGTTGACCGCTGGTCTCCCCTCAAAGGCTCAGGGAGCAGTCCTTCCGGTCTGAACCGCAGCACAAGCTGCAGCATGAGACCAATCAGGAACAAGCGGAGGTATTTTGCCTGTACCGCATATTCATGCGGAAGACGGTCGGTTGCAATCTCTGAAACGGACCAAATGATCCAAACAACAGCAGCTCCGAGAATCGCGCCGCGATTGTTACCCGATCCGCCAAGGATGAGCATGATCCAGATCAGGAACGTTGCCACCATCGGATCGATCGCCTCAGGCGTGATCGATCTGTTGAAATGGGCAAACATTGCGCCACCGAGTCCCATCAGTGCGGCACCGAAAATGAATGCTTCCAGCCGCCGGAACTCCACGTTCTTGCCCATGGCCCTGGCGGCATCCTCATCGTCGCGGATGGCGCGCATCATCCGGCCCCATGGTGCGTTGAACTGCCGCTCGACGAGGACATAAGCAACAATCAGAACCGCCAGAACGATGATCAGATAGGCGATTTGCGATTCCATGTAGCCCAGATCGCCAGCCGGCCGGGGAATGCCGGATATGCCGCGCGCTCCATTGGTGAGCACGGGCTCGGACTTGATCACCAGTCGAATAATCTCGGCGATCCCGATGGTGGCGATTGCAAGGTAGTCGGACCGGAAACGCAGGCAGATCTTTCCGATCGGCCAGGCAACAAGCCCAGCCGCCAGCATCGCTCCGATCCAGCCGATGACAAAATGCAGGTCAAAGCCGCCAATGCGGCCATCGGCAGGCGCCGTCGATATGATCGCGGACGTATACGCGCCGACCGCGAAGAAACCGGCGATACCCGCGTTGAACAGCCCGGCGAAGCCCCACTGGATGTTGAGCCCAAGCGCCAGCAACGCATAGATGCATATGAAGATCGCCATGAAGAGGGCGTAGTTGACAAGACCCGCAAGTTCCATCTTGCATCCCTCCCCTTACAGAACCTTGCCCTTGAGCAGCCCGGTCGGGCGCACAAGCAGCATGAACAGCAAAATGGCGAACGCCATCGCAGCCTTGTATTCACTCGGGATGACAAGAACCGAGAGTTCTTCAGCGATCCCCACGATCAGACCGCCGAGTACGGCTCCCTCAACCCTGCCGACGCCGCCAAGAATGGCCGCGGCGAACATCGGCAGCAGCATGTGCCAGCCCATCATGGCTTTCAGTTCCGTATTGATGCCAAGAAAGAAACCGGACGCCGCGCAGAGGCCGCCGGCGATCACCCATGTCAGCATGACAACCTTCTTGTTGTCGATACCGGAAAGCAGCGCCAGATTCGGGTTGTCGGACATGGCACGCATCGCCTTGCCCCATTTGGATCGCGTCAGGAAGAGCTGCAAAACACCCACCAGGACCACCATCGCCAGGAGCGTATAGATCTCGCGGTCGCGAATGCGGATACCGAAATAATCCTCAGGACGGACAATGCCGCGCGAATAGGTCTGGGTATCGACACCCCAAACGACCTGAACCACCGCCCGGATCATCAGCGCGATGCCAAGCGAGGCCATCACGGTCACGATCTTGGGACGCTCGCGCAAGTGCTCGTAAAAGACCTTGTCGATGCCGACCGCAACGGCGGCAGTGCCGAGAACGGCGATCGGAAGCGCAACATAGGGTGACACACCCATGCCCGTGACCGCCGCCAGCGCGATAAAGGCACCAAGGGTCGCCAGATCACCATGCGCCAGATGTGCATAGCGCAGGATTGCGAAAATCAGCGTGATGCCGACGGCACCGAGCGCATAGATCGAACCGAGAACAATGCCCGGCACAACGTAGAAATTGACAAGTTCGAACAGGTCCATACCGATCACCCACCCAGAAACATTTCGGCGACTTCACGGTCAGCCAGAAGGTCCGCACCAGTGCCTTCGTGGCGGTTCTTGCCTGCCGCCAGCACATACCCTCTGTCAGCAAAGGCCAGCGCCTGTTTGGCATGTTGTTCGACAAGAAGAATGGCAACGCCCGTGTCGCGCACATCACGGCAGATCTGGAAAATCTGCTCCATGTATTTCGGCGACAGACCGGCTGTCGGTTCGTCCAGCAGGAGAAGCTTGGGATCGAGCATCAATGCCCGCCCCATGGCGACCATCTGGCGCTGTCCGCCGGACAGACTGCCTGCCATGGTCTTGCGTCGTTCCTTGAGATCCGGAAACAGCGTGTAGACCCGGTCATAGGCTGCCGACAAATCGCCGGTCTTCAGGAAACCGCCCATTTCGAGGTTCTCGTGAATAGACATTTCCCGGAAGATATTGTCGACCTGAGGCACGTAACAAATCCCGCGCTGAACGATGCGGTTCGGTACCCAGCCAGTGATGTCATCCTCGTCAAACAGCATCTTGCCGCCGCGAATTGTAAGAAGACCGAAAACCGACTTCATCGCCGTTGATTTCCCGGCACCGTTCGGACCGACAATCACGACAATCTCGTCCTGGGCCACGGTCAACGACACGTCCTGGAGAATGTCGGCTTCGCCGTATCCACCCGTCAGGTTCTCCATCGAAAGAAGCGCACTCATGCTGCATCTCCCGTTGTCTCGCCGAGATAGGCTTCAAGCACCTGCGGATCGGAGCGGACTGCCTGGAAATCGCCTTCGATCAGCACCTTGCCTTCCGCCATACAAACGACCGGATCGCAAAGCTTTTCGATCATCTCCATGTCGTGTTCGATCAAGATAAAGGTGTAACCGCGTTCCTTGTTGAGAATCTCGATCTTGGTTTCGAGTTTTCGCAGCAATGTCCGGTTCACACCGGCGGCCGGTTCGTCCAGCAGGACCAATCTGGCGTCGGTCATCATCGTCCGGCCGAGCTCGAGAAGCTTCTTCTGCCCTCCGGAAAGATTGCCGGCGCGCTCGTGGGCGACATGCGTCAACTCCAGAAACTCGAGCGTCTCGTAAGCCCTGCTCTCCACGTCTCTTTCCGTGGACCTGACGCGGCTCCAGGCAACCCAGTTGGCAAACAGACTTTCACCTGGTTGCGAGGGCGGCACCATCATCAGGTTTTCCAGCGCGGTCAGCTTGTGAAACTCGTGCGGGATCTGGAACGTACGGACGAGACCCTTGTGAAACAGCTGATGACTGGCAAGGCCCGTCACGTCCTCACCCAGAAAACGAATGGCGCCGCTCGTTGGCGTCAAAGCCCCTGCAATCAGGTTGAAGAGCGTTGTTTTCCCTGCCCCGTTGGGCCCAATCAAGCCAGTTATACTGTTTTCTTCGACGCGGAACGTGCAGCCGTTGACTGCCCGGAACCCCCCAAAATCCATTTCGAGCTGATCAAGCTCAAGCATTCATGCTCCTCGCCGCCCCCCAAGCGGTCTTTCTTATTGCGTTTTGGCCGTGCCCCGCCTTTTTAGACTTGTAGAAGCAGACATTTGATGTCTGTCCCTCACGGCATCCTGACCTTCTAACTTTATTGGCAGAGCAATCAACCGATAATCACCCGCTTCCACCGCAGAAAGGGCAAGATTTTCCAGAATTCGCCGATCACGGAAACATCCAGTTCCCGACATAGGCAATTTTCCTGAGGAATTGCTGCGGCCAAGGCCTGCAGTGAGCGTAAGTATTCTGCGGAAAGTACCAGGCAATGTGCCGAGCATGAGAGAATCTTGACGGTGTTGGTCGCGTTTAGTTGAAAGGCCTGTCGAATGACTTGAAGCCGACAGCAACATCTACGTATAAATTACAATACACCTTTCACTTATCCTCAAAGAATTCAATTTGAAACAATATAATAAATACTGCCGCAGGAATTCTTGACTAGAGTTCGGTGAGACTAATGCCATGTTGCACCGGCTCCTTGCGCGAGACAAAAACCGATCGCAAGCCTGCCGACATCAGAGCCTGACAAAGGCCGTGACCAAACTTGGAGGGGAAACTGTCGAGCCGATCAGAATTGTCATTGGACATCGACGACATGACATTCCTCGACCCCGTCAACGTGGCCGACGGCAAAGTCGACGCGAACCTCATCCTGCAACTTTATGACAGACTCGATACAGCGGTCTGGATATTTGATTTCGACCACAAGAGATACTTGTGGGCCAATCGCAAGACCCTGGAAATCACCGAAGCAGACAGTCTGGAAGAACTGCAATCACGGGATCTCGGCGCCGATATGTCGCCGGCAGTGGAGCAACGCCTGCGTCAGTACCAACAGGACTTCTGCAAGGGTGATGTCAGCTTTTCGGAAATCTGGACGCTCTATCCAAAGGGCAAGCCCAAGGTCCTGCAAATCGAAATGAGCGGTGTGCAGTTGCGCGATGGCCGTATGGCTTTGCTGTGCGAAGGCCGCGAGCATCACGAACAGCAGCCCGAAACGCTGCGAAGCGCGGAAGCCCTGTTGCACACGACGGTGATGATCGCGCTTTTTTCCAAAGACGGAAGTCCGCTCTACCGCAATACTGCCTCCCGGGCGTCCTGCATCACTCTGGAAACCCGGTTTCCCGACCAGTTTGTCCGCGAGGAGGATGTGAAGGACATATTTGATCTGGTCGAGCAGGAGCGAACGCTGAAGTTCGTCGCGCATGTGAAAACGAGTTTGGGCTTCAAATGGCATGAACTCACCATTCGCGCATGCCATGACGCGGTTTCAGGACAACCGGCCTATCTCGTCAGCGAGATCGATGTCACAGAATTGCATGAAACCAAGGAGCGGGCACAGTATCTCGCGAGCCATGACACGCTGACCGGCCTGTCCAACCGGACCTTCCTGCAGGAACGGCTGACCCATATCCTGAATACGGCGGATACGAAAAACCAGACTGCAACGCTTTACCTGTTCGATCTGGACGATTTCAAGCTTGTGAATGATTCACTTGGCCACGCGGCTGGCGACGTGCTGTTGCAGCTGGTTGCCGAAGAATTGAAAGCAATCGCCGGCCCGGAAGATGTCGTTGCACGGCTCGGCGGTGACGAGTTTCTGATTTGCCACCTCGAAAAACCGGGTTCGGTGGATCCGGACTGGTTCGGCCGTTCGCTTCTGCGCTCCTTTGCCAAACCCCAGGTTCTTGAGGGCAAGCGAAGGCAGGTTGGCCTCAGTATCGGTTACGCACATTATCCGGACGATGGACGCGACATAGACCAGCTCATGCGGCACGCGGATCTCGCCCTCTACCAGGCGAAATCAGATCCTTCCGCGAAGTGTGTCAGGTTCCGCGACCGTATGCGCCGTTTGCGAGATGAACACCGCGCCATCAAGAAGGACCTTGAACGCGCACTGCAGAAGAACGAATTCATCCTCTACTATCAGCCAATTGCGTGCACCCGCACCGACAAGGTGGTGTCCGGAGAAGCCCTGCTGCGCTGGCAACACCCGGAACGTGGCATGGTCGGACCGGATGATTTCATAAAGATAGCCGAAGACGCCGGGCTTATCGATGAAATCGGTACCTGGGTTGCCGAACAGGTCGCACACCTGCAGCACCGCCTTCACAATCTGCAATATGCAGTTCCACTCGCTTTGAATGTCTCACCGCGGCAACTCTCCGATTCCTCATTCCTGAGCCTGATGCAATCGCTGCCCCTGGCAACAGGCTGTGACCCGTCCGACATTTCGCTGGAAATCACGGAGTCCGTGATTTTGGGAGATATTCCGAACGCGCGCGAAACGCTGACGGCGCTCAAACATTGCGGTTATCAAATCGTCATCGATGACTTCGGCACCGGCTACTCCAACCTTGCCTACCTCCACAACTACCCGATCGACGGAATCAAGATCGACCGGATGTTCATGGAAGACATCGGCACGGGCGGGGAAATCGTCAAACTGATCCTGTCGCTGGCAAATGCACTCGGTGCAGGTGTCGTTGCAGAAGGTGTTGAGACGATCGAGCAGCGATCCTGGCTGTCGCAAAACGGCTGCAACCGCTACCAGGGCTACCTCTATTCAAGACCTGTCCCCGAAGAACGTTTCCTGTCCATGCTGGAAACGCAGTCGCAGATCGCTGCTATGTGACCTTGGCACGTGTCTTGAACTCAGGTCGATCCCAGCTGCCCGTATCCAGAATGTCCGCAAGAATTGCGACCGCGTCGACGATATCCTGATGTGACAGATAGAGCGGCGTGAACCCGAAGCGCATAACATCCGGCGCCCGGAAATCACCGATAACACCGCGTGCAATCAGGGCCTGCATAACCGCGTACCCCTCACCGAACCTGAATGACACCTGGCTGCCGCGTTCAGACGGACTACGGGGGCTTGCAAGTGTCAGCTGCGGGCATCTGGCCTCGACCTCCGCGATGAAAAGTTCGCTCAGGGATACCGATTTGGCGCGTATGTCGGCCATGTCGACATCCTCAAAGATGTCCAGCGCAGCGTGGAGACTTGAAAGAGCCAGAATGGCCGGCGTGCCGACGGTCATGCGCGCGATGCCGGACACCGGGCGATAATCGAGGTCGAAAGCGAACGGGGCTTCGTGCCCCATCCAGCCCGTCAGAGGAGATGAAACCTTGTCCAGATGGTCCGGTGAAACATACAGAAAGGCGGGTGCGCCAGGACCACCGTTCAGATACTTGTAACCACATCCGATTGCGAAATCCGCCTTGGCTCCCAACAGGTCAACTTCAATCGCACCGGCCGAATGTGCCAGATCCCAAATCGCAATGGCGCCGGCATCATGGGCCTTCCGGGTCAGGTCGTTCATGTCGTGCACCCGTCCGGTCCGGTAGTCGACCTGTGTCAGCATCATCGCAGCAACCTGGTCATCCAGCATCGCTTCGACCTCTTCCGGCGCAACGATTTTCAGCTTGTGTCCTTTCGCCAGGAGATCCTTGAGTCCTGCGGCAACATAGAGATCCGTGGGGAAGTTTCCGCTGTCCGACAGGATGACTTTCCGTTCCGGACGAAGAGACAGTGCCGCCGAGAGGACTTTGAAGACATTGACCGATGTACTGTCACAGGCGACGACGGTGCCATTCGGCGCGCCGATCAACCGACCAATCCGATCACCGGTGCGCAAAGGCAGATCGAACCAGCTGTGGCTGTTCCATGCCCTGATCAGACTGGTGCCCCATTGCTCCGTCACCACGTCGGCGACGCGTCCCGGGACATGTTTCGGCATAACGCCGAGTGAATTGCCGTCCAGATAGATGACGCCCTCAGGCAGATGAAACGCATCTTTCTTGTGTCTCAAGTTGTCGTTCTGATCGGACGGATGCTGCGAAGTCATTGATTGCTCGTCATTGGCTGGCCAGCGGGGGCTGGCCTGCGGGGGCTGGCCAGCGGGGCTGGCCTGCGGGAAAGAGGCCGCACGCTATCAAAGGCCAATCCCGCAAACAACTATATCTGTATTCCATTTCTTGGGATCAGCGTTCCTGTTGGCCGGCAGCAAAACCCGCGATGTCGCAATCAGCACATAATTGCCCGTTTGGGCGCCGGACCTCATCGTGCCGTCTGCTAGCTTTGCCTCAAGGCCGATCCGGTCAGCAACCATTGGAAATGTGGTCCAATTCAGATGTTCATAAGCGTCTTCGACATATTCAAGATCGGAATCGGCCCTTCAAGCTCGCACACCGTCGGCCCCATGGTCGCAGTTCACCGGTACCTCGACAGGATAAGAGGGCTTGCCGGAGCGGAACAGGGCGCTGCCCGCATTACCATCACGCTACACGGTTCGCTTGCTTTTACCGGCAAAGGTCACGCAACCGACAAGGCGGTATGCCTCAGTCTGCTGGGGGCGCAACCGGATACGCTCGACCCCGACCGGGTAGAGCCGATGCTGGCTTCCCTGCAGACCGAGAAAAGGCTCAATATCCCCGGACTTCCGGAGATGGCATTCAACCCTGACGAAGACGTCGTATTCGACTACGGGCCGCCACTGGCGCTGCATGCCAACGGCATGACCTTTCAACTTCACGATGCGGGTGGATCACTGATCGACACGATCATTTACTATTCGATCGGTGGCGGTTTCGTTGTCAGCGAGGCGGAACTGCGCAAGACCACCAACGAACCCGTCAATGAATTGACCACGCAAAACGTCCCCTTTCCGTTTTCTTCCGCCAAACAGATGCTTGAAATGGGAGCTGAAGCGGCTCTTTCCATCGCCGAAATGAAGCTTGAGAACGAGTGCAGCGACAGATCACGCGAGGACGTGGAAACAGGCATCGACAAACTCTGGTCTGCCATGGATTCCTGTATCAACCGCGGCATCACCCAGGCCGGCATCCTGCCGGGTGGACTAAAGGTCAAGCGCCGAGCCGCGGACATTTACCAGCAGCTCATTCGCGAGGGCCGCAGCAATCCGCTGTTTGAACACAACGTCGTTGACTGGCTCGGCGTCTATGCGATGGCCGTCAACGAGGAAAATGCCGCCGGTGGCCGGGTTGTCACTGCCCCAACGAATGGCGCGGCAGGCGTCATACCGGCGGTGACCCGCTATTATCTCGATCATTGCGCCGGAGCAGATCAGGCGGGAGTTCGCATCTTTCTTCTGACTGCTGCTGCCGTCGGCGGCATCATCAAGGCAAACGCCTCGATTTCGGGCGCAGAAGTCGGTTGTCAGGGTGAAGTCGGCTCCGCTTCCGCCATGACGGCCGCCGGTCTTTGCGCCGCGCTCGGCGGCACGAACGAGCAGATCGAAAACGCTGCAGAAATCGCCCTGGAGCATCATCTCGGCATGACTTGCGATCCAATCGCCGGACTTGTTCAGGTTCCGTGTATCGAACGGAATGCACTTGGGGCTGTGAAGGCGGTAACCGCCGCGTCCCTGGCCCTTCGCGGCGACGGGTCTCACTTCGTCCCCCTTGACGGCTGCATCGAAACCATGCGGCAGACCGGCATGGATATGATGGAGCAGTACAAGGAAACCTCGCAAGGTGGACTCGCCGTCAATATTGTTGAGTGCTAACATACTGATAAAATTTACAATTTCTTGAAAACAGATTGCCTGATCACGAAAAAGAGACAATAGTCGTCTCCCAGGTTGCCGCAGCTATCCATTGCGTTGATCGCGGGAGGACAAGATGGAACTCTTGAAATGGCTGGCGACACAGTCGTCGCTGGTGTTTTTGTTCGTTGCCGTTGCTCTGGGCTATTTCGCCGGCAAGCTGAAAATCGGAAATTTCGTTCTGGGCGGCATCGCCGGAACGCTCATCATGGGTGTTATCCTTGGGCAGGTAGGTGTCACGATCGATTCCGCGGTCAAGGATATCTTCTTCGCGCTCTTCATCTACGCAGTCGGCTATCAGGGTGGGCCCCAGTTCTTCCGCGCCCTGTCACTCAAGTCGCTCAATCAGCTGCTATCGGCAGCCGTCATGTGCATTCTCGGACTGTTCACAGTGCTCGCCTTTGCCTGGGGTTTCGGTCTGGACCGCGGAACGGCCGCGGGTCTTGCCGCAGGCGCACTGACACAGTCTGCAATCATCGGCACGGCCGGTGAGACCATACAGAAACTCAGCGTCTCTGCGGACCTGAAGCAGATCATGGAGACCAACATCGCGGTCGGATACGCGGTCTGCTACATCTTCGGGTCGATTGGCCCGATCATCATGGTCACGTGGTTTTTCCCCACCGTCATGCGCTGGGATATCCGGAAGGAAGCACTCAGGCTCGCCGAGAAGATGTCAGGTGGCTCGGCCGAGCTCGAGCCGGGCCAGTTCAACGCGGCGCGCCGCATCGACACACGCTTTTACCAATTGAGCGACGGAAGTGAATGGCTCGGCAGATCAGCCAAAGACCTGGACGCCTCCATCGATGAAGTCGCGGTCGAAGCCGTTCTGCGTGCAGGCAGGGAAATTGACCTTGATACCGCGGAGGTTCTTCAATCGGACGATGTTGTCGCGATGACCGGCCTGGTTTCGTCGCTCGACAGCCCAGCCATGAACTGGGCGACTGAGACACAGGCACCGGACGGATATCATCTTGTGCTGGAGAACCGCCACATTGTCCTGACCAACCCTGACTACGCCGGCAACAAGCTGCAGGGCATCCATGATCACACCAGATCCAATGCCCTTCGAGATGTTTTTGTTACCGGCGTCAACAGGATGGGAAGGGAGTTGCCGCTGCTGCCGGATCTCGAGATCCACAAGGGCGATGAACTGCAATTGACCGGCAGTCCGCGCGACCTGAACCTGGTCCAGAAATCAATCGGCTATCCGATCAGCGCGGCAGCGGTCACGGACTTTATCTTCTTCGGCCTCGGCATGACGCTGGGCCTGCTTCTGGGTCTGATCGAATTCAGGATCGGCGGCGTTCCTGTCTCTGTTGGCAGCGGCGGCGGGTGCCTGCTGTCCGGTCTCTTGTTCGGTTGGCTGAGGAGCACTCATCCCCGTTTTGCCGCGTTGCCGACAGGCGCCGTCAATTTCCTGAGAGATTTCGGACTTGCCGTTTTTGTCGGAGTTGTCGGGATCAGTGCCGGTCCGCAGGTTCTGACAACACTGCAGGAACAGGGCATCAGCCTGTTCCTGTTCGGAATCGGTGTTACGCTCATTCCCCAGTTTTTCGGGTTCTTCTTTTCCTACTACGTCCTGCGAATCCAGAACCCGATCGAAGCACTTGCCTGTGTTGCCGGCGGTCGCAGTGCCAATCCGGCCTTTGCGGCTCTTCTGGGCAAGGCTGAAAACGCGACGCCGGTGGTCACATTCACTGTGACATATGCGGTCGCCAACGTGTTGCTGACCCTTTGGGGGCCGCTGATTGTCGGTCTCGTCACGACAAATCCGGCTCAATGAACGCCCCGGGAGAATTCAGATGAGTACTCAAGACTATTCGAAGTTCCAGGAACTCAGCCCGTTCGAGCTGAAGGACAAGCTTATTGAAATCGCTGCCTCGGCGTCGGAGCGGATGATGCTGAATGCAGGGCGCGGCAATCCCAATTTCCTGGCAACGCACCCGCGCCGCGCCTTTCTGCGTCTCGGCGACTTCTCGGTCGAGGAAGCCGAGCGGTCCTATTCCTATCTCGACAGCGGGTTCGGCGGACTTCCCGACAAGGAAGGAATGCTGTTGCGTTTCGAAAACTTCATTCACCGCCACGAAGACCGCGATGGCACCACCTTTCTGAGAGCGGCTCTTTCCTATGCAAAGGACCAACTCGGTATTCACAGGCATGAGTTGCTGCATGAAATGGTGGCAGGGTTTCTCGGCTGCAATTACCCGGTGCCGCCGCGGATGCTGACGCACGCGGAAAAAATCGTCGGCGCTTATCTCGGCAAGGAGATGTTCGGCAGCGAGCCGCAACAAGGCCCGTTTTCTGTCTTTGCGACGGAAGGCGGCACGGCGGCGATGACCTATATCTTCCAGACCCTGAAAGCCAACGGGCTGGTCAAGCAGGGGGACAAGGTGGCACTCGGCACGCCGATCTTTTCGCCCTATCTGGAAATCCCGCCATTGCCCGAATACGACATGCCGGTCGTCGATATCCGAATGGAGGAAGGGGCTGACTGGCAGTTCAGCGACGCGGAACTGGCAAAACTGGAAGATCCTGACATCAAGATCTTCTGCATCGTGAATCCGAGCAACCCACCCTCGGTAAAACTGTCTCCGGACGACCTCGACCGGGTGGCTGCGGTGATCAATGAAAAACGTCCGGACCTGTTCGTCGTCACCGATGATGTCTACGGCACATTTGCCGACGACTTCGTTTCTCTGTTCGCCAAGTGCCCGCGCAACACACTGTGTGTTTATTCGTTCTCAAAATATTTCGGCGCGACCGGTTGGCGCCTTGGCGTGATTGCGCTCCACGAAGACAATGTGTTCGACAAGGCGCTCACCGCACTTTCTGAAGACACAAAGAAAGAGCTCGACTGGCGTTACTCCTCACTGACAACTGCCCCCCGCGAAATCAGGTTCATCGACAGGCTGGTTGCTGACAGCCGCGCCGTGGCGCTCAACCACACGGCAGGATCTTCGACACCACAGCAAATTCAGATGATGCTGTTCGCGCTTGCTGGGCTGCTGGATCGCGACGACCGTTACAAGAACGCTGCCAAGAGCCTGATCCGCAAGCGGTTCAATACGCTTGAACTGAACATGGGCGTGAAACCTCATCGCGAGCCGGAAGATGTCAACTACTACACGCTGATCAATCTCCAGCACCTGAGCGGACGGCTTTATGGCGATGCTTTCGCCGATTGGTTCGTGGCCAACAAGAAGGGTTACGATTTCCTGTTCCGGCTGGCCGAGGAAACCAGCGTCGTCCTGCTTCCGGGGAAGGGTTTTGAAGTGGTCGATGCCTCGGCGCGGGTGTCCCTGGCAAACCTGACCGAAGCGGAGTATGCGAAGATCGGTGCCTTCGCACGCAAGGTCATTTCGGAGTATCACGACGAATACGCCGGGCAACAGGGCTGATAACAGCGCCGGAAACTCCATTGCGGAACCTGATTACAGAACACGCTGAACCGGGCCAGCCGGAGCAGCGTGTCTTTTTTTGTCCTTATCCGCACTTCCGGTCATACTCATCACCGATGCGCCTGAATGCTGGAGGGAACCTTGACCATCATAACCACGCCGCTTGTCGCGAGCCTGCTCGCGCTGCTTTATCTGGTTCTGAGCGTCCGCGTAATCGGCGCGCGCAATAGCGAACGCATCAGTCTCGGCGACAGGGGAAACGACATTTTGTTGCGGCGGATGCGCGTCCACGCCAATTTTGCGGAATATACACCGCTTTCCCTGCTGCTTCTGCTGATGCTGGAGCTGATGGGTGGCGCTCACTGGCTGCTTTACGGACTGGGTCTTTTCCTGGTCGTGGGACGGACAGTCCATGCCTATGGAGTCGGTAGCGACCCGGAGCCGATGAATTTCCGTGTCGTCGGAATGGTGTTGACCTTCGTCGTGATCGGCACGGCTGCTCTCGCGAACCTGGTACTTGCAACCAATGCACTTCTGATCGGTTGAGCTCCTGGTTCCTCAGAATTGCTGCAGCCGGGTCTTGTCGGCATGCGCAACAGGCGCGCAACCTTTCGACCAGGCGAATTCGTTTGGGCTGAACTTTCCCTTCCTCGCCAAACGGCGGGGGCCTGCTGTCGAGGCTTGCTAAACCCGGTTCCCTCCCGATTCCGGAAATTGGACATAAAGTCCAATTTCGGATATAATGTCTAAATGAACTCTCACCAGGACCTCAAAAGCTTCGAGCCGGTATGCAAGGCAATTTCGCTGATGTTTCCCGAGATGGTCGAAGTCGTGCTTCACGATCTCAAGACAAACAGAGTTGCGCATATCGAAAACGGATTTTCCAAACGCGTCGTTGGGGATGATTCCCTGATTGAAACAGAAAATTACGCATCCGAATTGCGACCGGACGGGACGATCGGGCCCTACCGGAAATCCAGCCCTGACGGATCACGCATCAAATCCATTTCTGCGATCATTCGAGATGACGCGGGAGTACCGATCGCGCTTTTGTGCATAAACCTCAAGACCGGTGATCTGGAGGCTGTCACAGGTCTTCTCGGAAAACTGACGCAGCTGGAGGACGAAAGCGCGGGCAAGTCCATCCTCAGGAACGACTGGCGTGAGCTGGCAAATGCGGTGATCGAAGACGCGCTCAAGGAAATGAAGATCTCATCCAACCAGACACGCAAGGCTGAGCGTCTCGAAATCATCGGAAGATTGCTTCGGGCTGATGTCCTGTCTGCAAGAGGGTCTGGAGAGTATGTCGCAGAAGCGCTCGGTGTTTCCCGCGCAAGCTTCTACGCAATGCTTCGCGAAGTCAGGAACAGCGAAAAGGACAGTTCGAAATGAACCTGAAGGTGACAGCCCCGCGCAACATGAGAGACTTTGGTCTGGAAGTCTTTTTTTCGAAATGGGAATTCACCGCCAGACACCATATGACGGCCTCGGACCTGGAAAGCATGTCGCTTTCCGATCTGCTGGCCATGGCTTCGAATGAAGACCGGAAAGCATTCGAGGAGTTATGGCTGGGTTACACCGAGACCTGGGGGGCTCCCCAGTTACGTCGGGAGATTTCGAGCACCTATGATCAAATACCGGCAGACAACATCCTTTGCATGGCGGGCGCTGGCGAGGGCCTGTTTGCCATACCGAATGTGCTTCTGACGCGTGACGATCACGCCATCGTGCCGACACCCAACTACCAGGGAGCGGAAACGATCCCGCTTTCAATTTGCGAGGTAACCGGGCTTCCCATGGTCTATTCATCGCCCTCCGGCATTGGGTCAGGCGCTGAAAAAGGCGGGTGGCGCATCGATATTGGCCAATTGCGAGATGCGATCAGACCGAACACCAAACTGATTTCCCTGAATTTTCCACACAACCCGACAGGCACACTCATGAACAGTGATGACCTGGCAGACCTCGTCTCGATTGCCAGAGAAAGTGGCATCTACATACTTGCCGACGAGGTTTACAGGGGCGTTGAGCTGGATCCGATAGATCGCATGCCGCAGATTGCAGACGTCTATGAACGCGGTGTTTCCCTCAATGTAGTGTCAAAGGCTTATGGATTGCCCGGGCTCCGGATTGGCTGGATTGCGTCGCAGGACCGAGCGTTTCTCCAAAGGGTTGAACGGTTCAAGCATTATCTTTCCATATGCAATTCAGGACCTGCCGAGATACTTGCGCTGATCGCGCTCAAGTCTCGGCACGAGATCCTTGCCCGCAATCGCGCAATCATGCTGGAAAACGTCCTGGCCCTGGAAAGGGTATTCGACATGTTTCCAGGCCTGTTTGAATGGTTCCGGCCGCTGGGAGGCTGTGTTGCGTTTCCAAAATACTGCGGACCGGACGGAGCCGAAACCTTTACCAGAAAGCTCATTGAAGAGAGCGGAGTGTTGCTTCTGCCGTCGTCGATCTATTCAAGTGACCTGAGCGAAACCCCGCAAAACCATTTCCGGATCGGTTTCGGCAGGAACCAGGTGTTCAAGGAGGGCCTCGCGGCCATGGCGGCGCATCTTGAAAAGTACTACCCTGGCCACAAGGTTGCGCCCGACTGACATGCGCCTGTGCTGTCAGGTATCGCATGACGTTTCAAACAGGAGCACGTTTGCCGGATAATCTGAAAACAATCGAAAGAGACGCCTGGAAAGCCCTTGAGTCAGCCACGCTGGACCGAGATCTGCCCTATCGATACCTGACCCTGGCTTCCCTCGGCCGTTGCGACTTTCCGGAGGCACGGACTGTCGTGTTGCGGTCCGTTGATCGGGCCGGGCACAGGCTGGAATTCCATACAGACACACGCAGTCCGAAGTGGCAGGAGCTCCACCGGAACGGCAATGCCACGGTGCTTGGATATTCGAACAGAACGCGCGTGCAGTTACGCCTGCGCGGCAGTATCCAGTTGTCGCATCCAGGGTCAGATCAAACGGAAATGGCCTGGAACCAGCTGTCATCGCAGACAAGGTCGACCTATGCCGGCGGACCGCCGGGTGACGAACTTCCGCCCCGTCCGCTGGTTTCAGGCAAAAACGCCGAAGCAGAAGTGCATGCAACGGGCAAACAGTGTTTTGGCGTGCTTTTCTTCAAGGCGGCGTCTCTGGACTGGTGTCGACTGGAGCGACAAAACAACCTGCGTGCTCGTTTCATCTACGATGACAATGGTGATCTGGAATTCTCGAACTGGATCGCGCCTTAACAGAGCGGACCTTCTTTCGTCCGGTCGCCTCGCACACCAGGCAATCAGATCTGTTGCAGCCGGGTCTTGTGGGCATGCGCGATGTGGGTTCTGGCTGCGGCCTCTGCAGCTTCGCTGTCTCCCCTGGCAATGGCGGCCACCACGGCTGCGTGCTCCTCCACTGCCGTTTCACGGCGTTCGGGCGTGTCCAGAGTTGTGCCCGCCATCAGGATCAGGGACAGGCGCAGGTGTTCGATCAGGTCGACAAGGTAGCGGTTGTGCGAGGCAAGGCAGAGGCGCCGGTGAAACTCCCTGTTGGAGCGCACCAGGCTGTCCTTGTCGGCAATGCGTTGCCTGTCCGCCCTGACCAGATCCTGCAGGATCTCGATTTCAGGCAGCGAGGCATGTTTGGCGGCAAGACCAGCTGCCGTTCCCTCCAGCATTTCGCGCATGAAATAGACTTCGTTGATCTGGCCATGGTCCAGCGTCGGAACCACCATGCCCCGGTTCGGTTCATGGACAGCAAGGCCCTGTGCCTCCAGGCGCTTTAGGCCTTCCCGGATCGGAGTTCGCGAGACGCCAAATTCCTCGGCGAGATCAGCCTCGCGCAGTCGATCTCCCGGTTTGAGCACCCGTTCCTCGATCAGACCGATCAGGCGTTTGTAGATTTCAGATCCGTTCATGCAATCTGGTTAGCGGCAAGAAGGACGTTGTGCAAGGGCGGGTCCGGGCAGGGCGTCTCGTGCCGCCCTGCCCGTGCCGTCAAACGCTGACCTTCATGTCACTGTAAGCAAGGCCGTCCGCGCCTTCATCCGTTTCGATGACCCGGATAACCGACCAGGACGACGTATCGATTTCTGCGACCCGCGCGCCATCCTGCGCACCGACAAACAGGGAATTGCCATCGGGTGAAAAGAGCAGCGATGCCGGCCCGTAGGCTCCGTGTGGTGCAAGATCGATTTCCGCCTTGACCTCCCGGTTTCCGCTTTCATAGACAACTACGCGATCACCGCGCAGATCGGCCACGGCAACCGCCTGGCCTTCGGGGTGAAACCGGACCCGGATCGGCAGGAAACCGGCTTCGATCACCTCCTGCCTCTCCATGGTTTGCGGATCGAACACGATGATCGTTTCGGACTGATTGTTTCCAACCCACAATTGCTTGCCGTCGGGGCTGACATCGACAGCCTCGGGCCCGACATCCGTGTTTGCCGTGTGGGTGATTTTCATTGTCTTCGCATCAACTACCGAGACCTTGTCCGATCCCCGGCTGGTCACGTATGCCGTCGAGGAATCCGGTGACAGTGCAAGCAAATGCGTGCCGATCAGTCCCGGTCCGGCTTGCCCGGTGACTGTTCCTTTCACAACATCAACAGTAATGACGTCCCGCGTTTCTTCTGTTGTCACGATTACGCTGTCGGTATCTCCAAGCCACGCGATTCCATGCGGTGCCATGTGCGGCGAGATATCGATCGTCTTCAGATGTGCAGCAGTGGCAACATCGAAAACATTGAGCTCGCGGCCGATATAGCCGTCTTCGAGGTAGGAAACGACCACAACCTGCTCACCGTCCGGAGACAAGACCAGTTCATGAGGCGAGCCGCCTGTGACCGGCCGTTTCACCTCCTGACCCGATTCCAGATCAATGAAGCTGACGGTCCCCGCATATTTGTTGCCGACGATCAGCGTGGCCGCGCTTGCTGAGAGCGCCGTGCCGGCAACAAGACAAACCGTGGATGCTGTGGTGATGAGATATCTGGTAAATGACATTTCCTGCCTCCATTCCGTTTAATTCTTGGATAGACACCCCTTGCCTTCACCCGAAGAAGAAACGTCTTGAGAGGTAGATGGTTATAAATCTACATTTCACAAAATTAAATTTGGTTAATAATAAATCGACTCTATACATTTCTCTATATTTAACATAATTAAAAATTCTACTTAAATTACTCTCTTTAAAATCAAAAAATTCTTATTCAAGTACTTTTTTTCATAAACATATTTTCGAACCGTGTTCATATTAATATTATACTTCGTGAAATTCAATAGAACTATCTTTTCAAATAGGTTTAAACAAATAATAGAAATTAATATCATTGTTCATTATTATAAAATTCTCTTTATAACCGGAAGAACACCTCCAAAAAACAAGACGCTTACAACGACGTTGCTCCCAAGCACTAAAAACACCATACTAAAAAATCTGTTTCGTCCCTTCAAAGGAGGGCCTGATGGTGGATCTCCATCAAAGATTTCCATTGAGCCTTTTCTTATCTGGTCAAAATTCCAACCGTTCCTCGCATAGAATTTTACGTCTTTGTAAAATCTAAATAACAGAATTACATTATAAATAGAGAAACACAGGAAAAACAGAAACGTCACTATTTCTCTGTTACTCATACCACCACCCTAAAACAATAAAATTCACTACTCGCCAATTAAAAATAATACATTAAAACTCCGAGTATGTGAGTAATTTCACTATTTAGGTCTTTTTACTTCATTCTTATCCCAAGCATTCGGCAGAAACATTTTCCCTCCTGTGACCGGCGAACGCGCTCCAGTCGTTTCGGGAAATGTTGTCGGCAATCCGGCCTTCAGGCGGGCGCCCAAAAACGCCATGGCCTGAGCTTCAAGCGCATCGCCATCAATGCCGTAGTCGTCCGCAGACACGACATCGCCTGCAAGACGAACCCTGAGCGCCTGCATTAGAACCGGGTTGTGGCGACCGCCTCCGCAAACAAGCCACAGGCCGGGCTTTTGGGGCAAGAGCGTTTCCGCCTTCGCAATCGCCTCGGCAGTGAAAGTCAGCAGTGTTGCAGCTCCGTCCTCAAGGCTCATGCCCTCAACGAAGTCCGCGGAAAAACTGTAGCGGTCAAGCGACTTCGGTCCGGTTTCCAACAGGAACGGATGCTTCAACGCTTCGATCAGCCGCTCTTCGTCTGCCCGCCCCTTTGCCGAAATCACTCCACCGGCGTCATAGTCACCCGCGCCATGCACCCTGATCCAGTCATCCAGGAGAGCATTCCCCGGCCCGATATCAAAGGCAAGCAGATGGTCGCCGCTGATGAAAGTCAGGTTGGAGACACCGCCGATGTTCAGGAAGCAGAGCGGTTCCCTGTCCGTGCCGACCAGCGTTCTGGCGAGTGCCTGGTGATAAATCGGCACAAGCGGTGCACCTTCGCCTCCAGCTTCCATGTCGGCAAGCCGGACGTCACCAATGACCGGCAGGCCGAGCACATTGGCGAGCACCTGCGGGTCACCAAGCTGGACCGTTTCGCCTTTCTTCGGATCGTGCCAGACGGTCTGTCCGTGGAAGACGATCGCATCCGGTGTCAGGTGATGCTCCTGCAGGAAGTCTCCAATGGCAGCCGCATGATCCGCGGTCACTTCTTCGGCGATCTACGGCCAGGTGTCCCGATTCTCACCCTTCCGGCCGGCAGCCTCAAGAACCATTCTTCGAGTATCGGAACGATAACCTGTCGTCGTGGCCGGACCGAAACGGCTGACCGTTTGGCCGTCCGTCTCGATTTCAGCCAGGTCAATGCCATCAGCGGAGGTTCCGCTGATGGTTCCGACAATCGACCAGCCCGTCATAGGCTGGCGGCCACCTTTTTCAGACTCTCCTCGGCGATATCGAACAGGTCGTTGACCTGCCCGTCCGTAATGATCAGCGGAGGACAGAAGGCCATGGCATCAAGCATGGCACGCGAGATCAGGCCGTTTTCCTGAAAGGCGGCATTCGCTGCGGCGCCGAGCGACCCGGGCGTATCCGAATGCGCCGGGTGTTGCAGCTCGGCCGCGCCGATCAGACCAATGCCGCGTGTCTCGACGACCAGAGGGTTGTCGGCAAGACCTGCCAGCCGTTTCTGGAAGGTCGGTGCGATCTCCCTGACATGCCCGACCAGGTCCCGTTCTTCGATGATTTTCAGGTTCTCCAGCGCCACAGCTGCAGCAACCGGGTGCCCGCTACCGGTATAGCCGTGTCCCAGAACACCGATCCGGTGGGATTCGTCTGCAATCGGTTCATACACCGTGTCGTTGATCAAAAGCGCAGAAATCGGCTGATAGGAAGATGACAGGGCTTTCGACAAGGTCATCATGTCCGGCTGCAGATTGTAAGTTTCAGTCCCGAACATGTTGCCGGTTCGTCCGAAACCGCAGATCACCTCGTCGGCAACAAAAAGAATGCCGTATTTCTTGAGGACCGGCTGAACCGCTTGCCAATACCCGTCCGGAGGCACGACAACGCCGCCGGCTCCCATGACCGGTTCGGCGAAGAATGCGGCGATGGTTTCGGGACCCTCAGCCAGGATCAGGTCCTCCAGATCCTGCGCACAGCGTCTTGCAAACTCCGCCTCGCTCTCGCCGTCCTTCTTCATCGTGCGATAGTGCGGGCTGGTCGTATGCAGGATCTGCGGCAGCGGCAGGTCGAAGGACTTGTGGTTGTTCGGCAGGCCGGTCAGGCTGGCGGAGGCGACCGTCACGCCATGGTAACCGCGCATCCTGGAAATGATCTTCTTGCGTTCCGGCTGGCCAAGTGCGTTGGACCGGTACCAGATCAGCTTGATCGCCGTGTCGTTGGCCTCGGATCCGGAATTGGTGAAATAGACCTTCGACATCGGCACGGGCGCCATTTCAATCAGCTTCTCTGCAAGCTCGATGGATGGTCCGTGGGTCTTGAAGGTAAAGGTGTGATAATAGGGCAGCTTTTCCATCTGACGGGCGGCAGCTTCCACAAGACGTTTTTCACCGAAACCGACGGCAACGCTCCACAGGCCCGCCATGCCCTCGATGTAGCGCTTGCCACTCACGTCCTCGACATAGATGCCCTCGCCCTTTTCGATCACCAGCGAACCGGTTTGCTCCTGCTTGCGTGCATCCGCATAGGAGTGGAGCTGGAAAGCGACATCGCGGGCTTCGAGCGAATTCGGCAACTGCGCCATGAGACACCTCTTGTTGGAAAGCTTGCTGGATGGTTCGGCGGCAAGCTGGCTTTGAACAGCCCTGCACCGACAAAGCCACGCTAGTACCGCAAAACGACAAGCACAACGAGAAATTTCGGATAAGGGAGACAGCCGGTTTCGTGACGGCATTTGCTGTTGGTGCAAAAACAAAAAACCGCGCCGAAGCGCGGTCAAGGGGCTGACGGTTTGCCGTGGCCGGGAACCGCAGCCCGTTCACCGGATCCTGTGGGGAGCACAGGACCTGACAAACGACCGTTCAGCCAGAGTTCCCAGATATTCCGCAATGACGTGTTATTATTGTCGACGGTACCATCGCGCGGAATTTGCTTTTGTAGTGTGTCCGTCTGTTCGATATTTATTTATGCATTGATTGGTGGTTTCGATTGTCAGCGACAGCCAATATGCTGTCATTTGGTGCCAAATTGTTATGGGGGCCCATATTGAGCGAAGCCGAAGTTGATGCCGTATTGATCAGGGCTGCTGTCAAGATCATGGAGCAACGTGGAGAAGATCACGAAGAAGCTCTTCACGCGACGGGACTTTCTCCTGCGGACCTGGAAGGTTTTGATCGCCGGGTCCCGCTCAGAAAATCCGACGCTTTCCTGGAACAGGCCGCGAAGCATCTGGATGATGACCTGTTCGGATTTAATGTCGGCAAGACCACTCCGACAGGTACCTTTGGTGTGATCGCCTATCTCGGCATTTCCTCAGCAACGCTGGAACAGGCCATCCTGAACCACGTCAAATACGTCAATATCTTTGTCGACAGTTACCGTCTCTCGCTTGCCAGGACAGGCAACACCGCCAAGCTTTCCTACCAGGAGGTGGATCGCAGCTCCTATTTCAAGAGACAGGCCAATGAGGCGGGAATGGCCGCGCTCTTGTCGAATTACCGGTACGGTACAGGCAGGATCCTGCGTCCGGCGGAAATTCATTTTCATCACCAGAGAGCCGAAGCACCCGCGGAAATGAAACTCTTTTTCGGCTGCCCCATCCATTTCGGCAGCGACATCCATGGCATCGTGTTTCACACAAAGGACCTTGAAACGCCTCTCGTGCATTCCGACAGGGATCTTCTTGAGCTGATGTCGAATGTCGCCGACAAGATGCTGGAAAAGCGACGCGCCGTTCCGAAGTCCTTTCTCGCCAATGTCGAATTTCACGTGATTGACGGCTTGTCGAAAGGCCAGAGCTCGGCAAGCCTGGTCGCAGGCAAACTGGGAATGACCGAACGTACTTTCGCAAGGCGGCTTGCCGACGAGAGCACAACCTTTTCGGAGGTCCTTGAGGATGTCAGACGCAATCTGTCGGAGGAGTATCTGCACAAGAGCGATCTCTCCCTGCCGGAAATCGCTTTCCTGCTGGGCTATTCGGATTCACCTGCGTTCATCCGCGCCTACAAACGCTGGTTCGGCGTCACCCCCGGAGCACGCGCGTCTGAAGTCAGACGCCTGAAAACAGGCTAGGTTTTCTGGCAGGCCCGCTGCGTCGTCTGCTTGCGGGATTGCGTTTCTTACCGATCCTCACAATGCTACCCGTCCGCGCACTGAGAACACGCCCAGCAACTCGCTGGACGGGTCGGTTGCCGGATCAACGATCACCTGGACGTCTGGCGTCAGGGCGAACTGCGGCGTCAGCTGCATTCGATAAAACGCCTCCAGAGCATATTGATTGTCGAGTGCGGAGTTCCAGGGGTCGCCCCAGCTCAGGCCAATGCCGATGACATCCGCGTCGTACCCGAAGACGTTTTCAAACCCAGCGCCGATACTTGCAAACTGCTTCAGCGTCGTCGCGCCGCCATTGGAGTAGCCATAGCGGGCATAGGGCACGATGTTGCCGAAGCCCTTCTGGGCAGAAGCGGTAAAGCCCCAGCCTTCGGGGCGGCCGACCTTCTCGCGGGCATCGGAATGCCAGAGTGTCAGGTGGTAGTCGTCATTGCCGGGCCTGAAATCCTTGCCGGGCTCTAGCCCGAAGACAAAGTCTGGCGCCCAGCCGAATTCGCCGATGGAAAACAGCTCGCCATCCTCAAAGAATGTATCGAAACCGGGGCGGATGGGAGATCCGTTGGCATCAAAGACCCCGGCAGCCAGATAACCGCCACTGGTCAAGCGCGCACCGCCGGCAAGTCCCAGGGCGGACGGCGGAAACGGAATTGTGGGATTGAAGTTCTGTGGCTGACCCAGAAAGGCGACCCGAGGGCTTTTGTACTTGTAGTAGTCAAAAATCGTGAAGGGCGCGAGTTTGCCGAGCCGCAAAAGCACGCGATCCCGGATCAGATGTTGCTCATACCAGAGCTGGGAAATCGAAGGGTCCTGCTCGCCGTACCCAATTGCGCCAGACCAGATCGACCCAGCCGCCGGTGCCGTTGATTGGGGGGCAGTCGCGTTGAGGAGATTGAACCGGGTCTCGAACTTGCCGCCGATCAGGCCCTTCGGCCCGGTCCCATTTCTGCCGAACAGCTCCCAGGTGAAATCGAACTCAGCCTGCGCACCCGATCCTGTTTTCCATTGATTGTTGCTCGAAGCAGCTTGAAGAACCTGAGTGTAGGCAATGGAAAACTTGATCCCCGCGGCATCGTCAATGCTCTTCTTGAACGCACTCCATCTTTCAATGAAGGATTGGGAAACTGGTGGGTTGAGGCGACTTTCCTTCGGCGTGTTGGCGCTCTCGATGATGTTCGGAATGTCGTCGGCGCTGCGGAAACCATCATCGCCCCCGGCGTCTTGCGCAGAGGCTCCCTGACTCGCCATCAAAAGCCCGGCGATTGCAAGCAGGCGGTATTGGCGCAATCCGGTCATCCTGCCCCGCTACTGAAAGGATCTGACATCCGTGGCATTGAGCGCATAGCTCGCCTGAACGCCGGTTGCCGCGCCATCATAAAAGAGAACATCGCTTTTGGTATCTTCCGCAGCCAATTCCCCTTCGATCCAGAAAGCACCGAAGATCGACGAAAAAGCTATCCCTTCCGGATACTTGACATGAACGATCTGGTTCGGAGGCGGGGTCGGTGTGTGCACGCATGCTCCCGCGGCCGGCACAAACAGGAATTCCGTGACCGCCTGATCATTGAAAGTCAGAGGCACCACGTAACCGGGTAAGCGGATAGTGGTACCCAGGATGTCCGGATTCGCCCCACGTGCAATACGTCCGTTGCGGGCAATGATCTTCCGGCGTTCGCGCATCAATGCTTCAACATCAATTTCATGCGCTTCGAGCAATGCGATTGCCGCCTCGTTTTCAGCGATGAACTCATCCTCCGAGCGGGCACTGCGCTTGGATGTTCTCCACCGGACGTGTGTTCGCATGGCTTCCAGAAGCGGCTCCGGAAGGGATGCAAAGGGTGCCTCAAGCGACGTCGCGACCGGCCGCAGGTCGGTCCAGGCAAGTGTGTTGCCATTTGTCGTGCCGGCCGGGGCAGCAGGCGCTGCGGTTACCATGGATCTCGCGAAGGGAAGCGAACCGGACGGCGTTTGAAACGTGGAGACCCGGTCTCTCAAGCTTTCGGTTGAGCCAGCGACACCTGCCGTTGAAAACAAGGCTGCCGCGATACAGAAAAACGCCAGTACGAGCATCCGGGACACTTTGCTTCTCCGTTTCGCCATTTAAGGAAAGAACACGGACACGCCGAATTTGAATTGCGCGTCCGCACCGCCGCTCGGATGCGCAGCAAGGCCATATCCACCCAGGTTGACATCGACTGCATACCCACCGTCCAACGCGAATGTTTTTCCGACCGTCAGACCGACCGGCACCTGCCAGCGACTGCCGGCATCGGCTGTCCAGTTATAGGTGATTGAATTGTTATAGCCGACGTAGGAGCCACCGAGGAAATCGGTGTTGTACATGACAATGGGCTGAACCGTAGACAGGTTGAAATTGTCCTCGCCCCAATGATGCCCAACGACAGCCCCGTAGGACAGGTCTCCGGCAAAGCCGAAGGCGACTGCTGCCAACCCGCCGCCCCAACCCGGACCTCCGACCGCATCATCGGTCCGGCTGCGCAGCGAAACCTGCGGGCCTATACCGAATTTGATCGGCGAATTCTCCAGCTGCGGCACGACAAAACCTTGCAGCATGATATCGGAGATGCCCCATGTGTAGCCCGTACCGCCAACTTGAGTGGGTCCCAGTTTCGGAAAGGCGGCACCTTCGTGCACACCGGTGATCGGCACAATGCCTCGAGCTATGAAGTTGAAGCCCATGTCCGTCGGGATCGAATAGACCGGCTGAACCTGGAAAGCATAGCCGGTCTGCTCGTCGGCTGTCCCGAAAGCCACGGTGTTGTCGGTCATGATCGCGCGCACATCGGCAAGCGGATCCTGCGCCTTGCGAGCTGCCTGACAAGACTCGTCGCAGTCATCAGCAAAGGCAGCGCCGAAAGTGAACACAGATGAGCACAGGACCGAAATCGCGACCCCCGCAGCAATGGAAATTCTGTTTTGGATCGATGTGGTCATTTTGAACTACCCATTGAAGATCGACGCCTAAACCTGCCCGTATCACCCACGGAAATCTGGCATCAGGTTACTGGTAAACATTTTTGGGGCAAGAGCGGCGTATGCATGTGCAATCTGAAAAACCTTCAGATCCTCATAGGATTTGCCAATGATCTGCATCCCGATCGGTACACCCTGCGAACTGATGCCAGCTGGCGCATCAATAACCGGGCTCCAGTTCAGGAAATTCCATGGCGCCGTCAGGGCCAGAATGGAAAAAGGATGAATCTCCTGACCCTGAACAACCAGACCACCAATAGACAGATCGTAATCCGCCGGGACATGAGGGGTTGCTACAGTTGGAGCAATAACAGCCTCATATCCTTTCTCGAAAACCGCAGCGCCCAGACGCTTGGAGAATTCAACGACATAGGCCTCGAATTCGACAACAGTCCCGGCGTTGTATTTTCCGCTTGCGGCTTTACTGACAAGAGCCGCTGCATAAGGGGTCATTTCATCTGTCCGGTCAACAAATCCAGCCAATCCGCCGCCAATTGGACCGCCGAGACCGCCCTTGGAGAATATCTCGCCGATTTCATCACCTTCGAAACCCGGATCGAATTCAATCTCGTCGACCACGGCACCCAAAGCCCTGAGCCTTTCAACCGCTGAACTCATTGCCGATCTGGTATCATTGTCCAGAGGAACCAGACCCATCGTCGGCACATAGGCGATACGCATTCCCTTGATGTCAGGATAATCCAGTGGCATTTCGAGTTTAGGCATGGTCGCTGGTGATGACGCATCAGCTCCGGCCATCACATTCTGCAACATTGTCATGTCGTCGAACCCGCGCGCCAGCGGACCGGTTCCAAGGAAATAGGACACAACGGCCCCGGTCGGCACTCGTCCTGTCGGCGGTTTAAACCCGTAAAGACCGTTGAAATGGGCTGGAATACGAACAGACCCGCCCATGTCGGATCCGGTTGCCATTGTCGACATGCCTGCTGCAAGAGCGGCGCCGGAACCGCCGGATGAGCCTCCAACAGCATATTGGAGGTTCCACGGATTACGGGTGACACCCCAAAGTTTAGACCAGGTGACCCCATTGAGGTAAAACTCGGGAACAGTTGTCTGGATCGGCAAGACACATCCGGCTGCCTTCAGTCTCTGGACGATGATGTCCGGGCCGTCCATCTTGTTATCGGCCAGAACTTTGGATCCCTGCGTGACGATCCAGCCCGCATCATGATGCTCGTCCTTTACAGCAACGCTGATCCCGTCGAGTTCGCGCGCGGTTCCATCCATGTAACGTTGTTCAGAGGCTGTCGCGTCCGTCATCGCGGTGTCGAAATGCGTGTAAGTAACGCAATTCACTTTGTCATTTACCGCTTCATAACGGGCGATCTGAGCTTCCAGAACTTCGACCGGCGAGAGCTTTTGTGACCGGAACAACGGTAACAATTCGGACGCCGTCATGTAGGTCAGTTCGCTTGCATCGAAACTGGCTGCAAAGGCAGAGGGTGCGGCCAGTCCCGTTGCGGCAGCGGCGGCCCCAAGAGCAAGAACATCCCTCCGGTTGATGCCACTGTTTTTGGTCTCGACTTCACTCATGTCACGCGCTCCAGTCTGGATTTGGAACCAGCTCACAGGTTTCAATCATTGGGTCCTCACCTTCCGACATTTGGTTTCCTTGCTTGTCGAAAGGAAAAGGCCGCTTGTCGCCCGATTTCTACATGCCGTCGCGGTGGCGGAACACACCGTCCATGATCGTGCCGTGCACCTTGATTTCGAGCAGTTCTTGCGGGTCCGAAATGTCGTGCGGGTTCTTGCCCAGGATCACGAGGTCGGCAAGTTTGCCAACTTCGATCGACCCTATTTTATTCTCCAAGCGCATCTGCCACGCCGGGTTGATTGTGATGGCTTCCAAACCTTGTTGCAACGTCAGCGTCGGTGACGATGGCGGGAACGGTTTGGAATCTTCCGGATTGAACGGGTCTTTGTGAGTCATCGCAGTGTAGACATTCCAGAGACCTGCGGAGTTCTCAATGGGTGACGAGGGCACATCAGCCGATATGCTGAGTTTGCCGCCAACCGCAGCGATGTCAGCGTAATGGCCCACATGGCTCATCGCGCGCGCCTCGCCCAGCATCCGCAAGTAATCACCATCTTGCCCGGACCAGTCGGTGTTGAAGATCGGGGTCACATTGACGGGGATATTGTTGTCGACGGTCCGCTTGTGATCATCTGGATGAACGATCATGTAATGGTGGATCGCATTGCGTTCATCTGCGTTTCCTGCCTCACGAGAGGCGAGAATTGCGTCGACGACACCGCGCACCGTGGCCGACCCTTCCGAGTGGGTAAACACGTCCACCCCCTTGGGATTGGCCGCCAATAGAATCTCTTTGATACGGTCAGGCGACGTGGCAGATGCACCGTTGCCTTCGCGGTCGGCCCAGTCTTCCAGCATCAGAACGCCACCGGCGCTCCATGTTCCTTCGGGGTGGATTTTCATGCCTCGAACACCGAACATCTCGCCGTTATAGGTGTCCTGAAACTCTGCGGTTCGCGTTGTGAACGCGTCGGGGTCCGTGGATGCATCCTTGTAGGCCGGCTGCATGAATGTGCGGATCGGCAGTTCGTTTTTTTCGGCCAGATCCCCAAGCAGTTTCATCGAGGCTTCCAGGTCACTGAACATTCCGTCGGTGTTTGAGAAGTTCGGCGTTACCTGACCCGGCACGAGCACTGTGGTCATGCCGCCCCTGGAGGCTTCGGACTGAAGCACACTGCGGCTTTCCTCGATCATCACGTCAGGATTCCAGACAACCTTGGAGTAGGTCGGAAACCACGCTAGCTCGATCCCGGTGCCGGTCGGATTGCCCGCATCGTCTCGGTTCCAGTAGGTCACACCGGGGACCGGGTCGGGTGTATCTGCTGTGATCCCGCCCGCCTCAAGTGCCTTGCTGTTCAGCCATGCATCGTGGATCGTAAAATCAATTATTATCGCCACCTTGTCGGGCACGATTTCGTCCAGCTCTGCGGCCGTTGGCTGTCCGCCCATAACGCTGGGATTATAACCGTGGCCCAACACGTATGGCAGGTCGGGGTTCTCTTCGACATAGGCCCTGATCCGCGCCAGCGTGTCCTCGCGGCTGGTCGCCGGGTTCAGGTTCAACCCTGGCTTGGTCCAGTTTGAAGAAACTATATGGTCATGACCGCTGACAAAACCGGGCAGCAAAGCCCTGCCGGACAAGTCGAACACTTCTGTACCGTCGCCGACATGTTTCTGCGCATCAGCGGCCGAACCGACAAATATGATCTTGTTGCCTTCAACCGCAACAGCTTCTGCCTTCGGATTGGCATCGTCCATGGTCAGGACCGACGCATTTGTAAAGACCATGTCAGCTGTCTGGGCTAATGCCGCTGTACTCGTCATCAGCAGCGCAGTCAGGGTTACAGTCAAATAATTCATTTTATCGTCCTTGTCGCACTGCATCCGTCCAAGCTGCGGTCGATTTCCTTTGTTCACGCTAATTCAGGAAGTCCGGGTATCCACTTTCTTCCAGCGTGCCGAAAATTGGTTTTTCGGTGTATTCGGCGGTTTCCCAATCCAGGCTGTCCACGTCGATTTTGCGGATCTGCATGTTGTCGTAGGTCCGGAAATAGTAATCTGCATTGCCGGTATCAGCGACGATACTGTAGCCAGCCATTTGCGGTGCTGGATCCAGCCAGCGCCAGTACAGCGTGCCACGCGGGATATCGAACACGTTCACCATTGTCCAAGCCGCATTGACCGCATCGAGATCAGTTTCGAGAACTGACTTGTCCAGGACGTAATTCAAAGCAGCGGCTTGCTCAAAACGACCACGAGGTGACTTGTCGAACCCGGTAAACGTCTGTTCCGATGCCTTAGCCTGCCCTGTGTCGAGCGTGTCGCCCTGCATGTCGAGCATCGCTTTCACGTTGCCCAGCTGGTCCTGATAAGGTGGGTCGTTAGTCATTGCGCCGACGTAGTTCTCGAATATCTCCGGATATCCAGATCCATTCTGCCACTCAACAACAATCCGACGGTTTTTGTCGGCAATGGCGAAATGCATCCCGACTTCGACATAATTCGCAACGGCGATCTTTGTGGTCGAAACCTTGGTGTTCTTGAGCAGTTCAACCGCTTCATCGACGCTCTTGGCATTTGCCAGGATGTAGGCGCCAATGTTGAGATAGTTATAGGCGCTTTCACCTTCAGGCGCGAATTGCGACGCTGCCAGGGCCAGCGACTCGATATTGAGCCCATGCTCGTTCATGCCTGACGAAATCCATTCGGTATCAGCATGGCGCATCCCGACATAACCGATGGGGCCGGTCACACCCAGCAAATCATAGCCACGCGGTGCGATAATGAACCGTTCTCCGGCCTCAAACCCGAGTTCCATGGTGCGGCCAACGATCTGATTGCCTTTCGGCGTATCGAATACGAAGGATGAGCAGGCTTGAGCGGCTTGAGCACCGAGCATTGCGAAGAGTGCAGCTGAGGCACCAAGTGTCCTGAAACCATTTTTTCTCATTGGTCCATAGTCTCCGGTCTTATCTTTTTTCACTGCCCGTTAAAGCCCGTCACGATGTGTGAACTCGCCATTCAACAGTGTGCCGATGACAATCGCTTCTTCGATCATGTTTTCCGGTGCAATCTCGCGCAGGCTTTTCTGCCAGATCGCGATGTCAGCGTATTTTCCGACCTCCAGCGAGCCAATCACATCTTCCATTCCCATCTGCCAGGCGGGCGCGACAGTATAGGCGTTCAGCACCTGATCGATTGTCATTGTGGGGCGCCAGTCCGGGAAGGGAAGCGCGCCTTCAATCGAAGGTTCGACCAGGGTCATCGACTGCTGGAAAAGATATGCCGGATAGGCCCTCTCGATGGGTGCCCCGGGCGCGTCCCCGGAAAGCGACAGGTTGTCATACATCTGCGCCAGTTCGGTGTATTGGCCATGTGCCTCGCGGGCAAAAGCTCCTGGAATAACTTTGAAAAGTTCGACACCGTTCCTACCGGAATCCAGTTCATTGTAGAACAGTGGGCTAGCATTCGAAGGAATGTTGTGGAGCACCATCTTATCGCGCGTCTCGTTGTCCATCGAAGTAAGGTGGTCAAGCCTGTTGCGCGCGTTCGGGTAGTGTTTCTTGGCCTCGATGATGATATCGACAAGCCGCTTGATGAGCCGCGAGCCGTCCGCATGAGTAATGACATCCAGATCGTTCAGATTGGCCCGGTTGACCACTTCGAACAGGCGGTCTGGTGAAACACCATATTCGCCCCACGTCGGCGCATCGCCGGGGTTTTCCGGCAGATAGGCTTCAAGCTGCGTAGCGCCACGGGAGAGCCAGGCGTTTTCCGGATGGATCTTGATCTTGTCCGTTCGCAACATGTCGGTGTTGTAGAGTTTGCGCATTTCGACAGCGAAATCGATCACGGTTTGCGGGTCGGCATCGGGCAGCTTGAACCACGGCATGATGTTGAAGCGCATCTTGAGCTGGCCGTTGTCTTCACGTGCTTTCATCACGGCCATGATGTCACGCATGTCTTCCATGGCATTTTGGGTACTGATAGAAAGACCTGGAGTCACCAGGCCTGGCACCATCGCCGTAGTCACGCCTTTGCCGGCCAAATAGTCTTGAAGGAAGTCGGCAGATTGCGGCACAATCGTTTCCGGATCCCAAGCACCCATGTCGACATAAGCCTTGAAGAAAATAGTCTCGATCCCGAGGCCAGTCGGATTGCCGTCTTCATCTCGCTCCCAATAGATCACACCCGGTTGCGTATCGGGCGTGTCGGCAGATATCCCGGATGCCTCCATCGCGAGCGTGTTCAGGACTGCATCGTGAGATGCGTTGCCGATGACCATCGTCGGGCGGCCAAGATCCCATTTATCCAGGTCGGCGGCCCGGGGTTGCTGGTTGCCAAGGTTGGCCGGCATCCAGCCAAAACCTATAAGGGGGCCTGTTTCATCAGGATTGGCATCGACATACTCTTTCATCAATCGGCCTACATCGTCCACCGATCGCGCAGCACTTACATCGACACCTGTCGTGATCCACTTGGAGGACACAACATGATTGTGCGATTCAATCATGCCCGGCGTGACGTATTTACCTCTGAGATCGATCACATCCGTCCCATCTCCGACAAATGCCTGAACATTGTCGCTGTCACCCACAAAGAGGATCCTACCGTCCTTCATCGCGACCGCTTCGGCAGATGGTTGGGCCGGGTTCATGGTTTCGATAGCGCCGTTCAGAAGTACCCGGTCCGCAGTTTGGGCATACGCGGGTATGGTGATGCTAGCGCACAAAATGGCTGCTACTGATATGTTTTTTATGACGTTCATTGCGGTTTTCCAATTCCAATCACAATCATGCAGTTCGTCTTTCGTGGTTACTGATTTGCAACTCACTCCCAAGCGGGTCCCGGTCAACTGGCAGTATCAGCGCCTAAGCCTCAATCACCCAGTTCCCCTTGCGCAACACCGCCAATCGGCGTGCCTATCTCGGCGCCCATGGCTTCAAATCCGGCGCGGCTGCTTTCGCTGATTTCTGTCAACGTGACGATTTTTTCAAACTCTGCGAGTTCCATCAGTTCCGGCAGAAACGGTTCGATCAGGGCCTGATGCCGTTCATGGGCGGCATCGTCGGTGTAGCGCTCATAGCCGTAGACCGTCTCACCTGTTCGGGCGAACTCGTAGATCAGTAGTCCGTCATCTGCCTTGGAAGCATCCAGCATCTTCTGCGCCAATACATCGAAGGCGGCGTTGTTGGCTTGCGGCACCTTCAAAATGACCATGAATGCGACATCTGCCCGCGCTGCCGTGCTGCCGTGCTGCCATACCCCACAAGCCACAAAACCGTGGCGCATACAATCAAAAATCGAAGACCCATACCTTACCTCTTCCGCCGTTGTGCAGCCGGAGGGCTGTGCCCTCCGGCGTTCCGTCCTCAGATCCCTACGAGATGCGTGAACCGGCCGTCCAAGACCGTTCCAAGGACCTTGATGTCAGAGATATCGCGCGGCGCGACGGTAGTGATGTCCGTGTCGAGAACACCCAAATCTGCATATTTGCCCACTTCAATCGAGCCGATCTTGTCCTGCATGGCCTGCTGGGCTGCCGGATAGATCGTGATCGCTTTGAGCGATTCTTCCAAAGAGGCCGGTTTGCGCGACAGTGGGAACGGTTTGCTGTCCGGGTTCAACGGATCCTGCAAGGTCATCGCCACTTCTACATTGATGAGAGGGCCGATCAGGTCGATAGATGCCGAAGGCACATCCGAAGAAATCGAAACGTTATGTCCCAGCGCCATTAGCGAGGAATATCTTGCAAAGATCGACTCGACCCTTGCGCGCCCCAGCAGATCGAGAGCATTTACATCCTGGGCTTCCCAATCAACATGGAAAATCGGGGTCGTGTTGACCATGATCTCGTTGTCGATGACCGTCTCGTGATCCTTGTCCGATACCCAAAAGTAGTGATGCAGGAGATTGTTCGGCACGTCATAGCCAGCACCACGGGCGGTCATTATTGCATTGACGGTGTTGCGCACAGTCTGTGATCCGTCCACGTGGGTTCCCACGGGAAGACCCGCCCTATTGGCCTGAAGATAGACAGACGTAATCATAGGACCTTCGATCGCCGCCGCACCGCGTGTTCCGGTTCCGTCGGCATACGCGTCCAACATCCATGCGGTCTTTGAACTCCAGTTTCCTTCTGGATGGATCTTGATGCCCCAGATACGCAGCATGTCGCTGTCATATTGCTCCCTCAGTTCCAGCGTGTGGGCCACGATATCGTCTGCGTTTGCGGTCGGATCCTTAAAACCGGTTGCAACGAAGGTGCGAATGTTTAACTCACCTTTCTTCTCAAGCTCGTGCAGATGCGCGAGCGCTAGTTTTTCGTCTTCCTTGACAAGAGATAAATCCGTCGCTGTCGGCATGGCCATCAGCGGTACGTGAACCGTGGTTATTCCTGTCGTGACTGCTTGGTCATAGAGACTTTTCTGGATGGCCGGGATTTCGCCGGCGGGATCCCAGGCTCCGGCGTTCAGGAACGCTGAGGCCCACTGAAACTCAATCCCTATGCCGGTCTGGTTGCCCTCGGCATCGCGCTGCCAGAACATGACCCCGGGCACCTGGTCCGGTTCATCAGGGCTGACGTCCCCGGCCTCGAAGGCCTTGGAATTCATCCAAACATCGTGAATCGTGAAATCCAATATGAACGCCGGGCGGTCCGGCACAACCGAATCCAGATCTTCCTTCGTTGGCCACCCTCCGTAGGCGACCTGGTTAAAGCCATAACCAAGGATCAGATCTTCGTCCGGGTTGGCGTCGGCATACTCCTTGATCTTTTGTAGGGCTTCAACTTTGTCCTCGATGCCAAACAAGTCGACACCTCGCGTCGTCCAGCCTGAGGCGACGATATGATCGTGCCCGGAGACAAATCCGGGCAGGAGCGTGTCTCCGCCAAGATCGAAGACATCGGTGTTATCCCCAACCAGCGCTTCCGCGCCTGCGGCATCGCCCACATAGGTTATCTGATTGCCGGTCACCGCAACCGCCTCGGCGGTCGGACTATCATCGTTCATCGTCAGAACCGAGGCGTTGGTGAAAACCAAGTCGGCAGTTTGCCCAACAGCGACGGACGATGAACAGACGAGCAAAAGCGACAATATGGTTTTTGACCAGACGAATTTCATCATGTGCTTCTTCGGTTCGAACAAATGAGCGAGCGTAAAGTCGAAGCTGAAATTATCTGAAACGGGTTTTCCCACGGCAAGTGAAAAGGTCATGGTACTTCCCAAAAGGACAAATTCTGCCTAAATGTAACCGGGACAAGAAATTCAATTAAAGCATTGTATTTATTGTGTAATATGACTTTCAGAAGAAATGAATCTTGCAGAACCGCCGTCGTTTTGTCCCCTTGGCGCCTCCGACGTCGGAGCACCGGCAGCTGAATACCTAGTTGCTTTTGCCAATACTACCGCTTCCGCCTCATCTGGACGAACAGCGCGACGAGGCAACCAACGCTGAAACAGACGCGCACCGTTGCATTTGATCCCGTTCGGGATATTCTGATTGCGGATCGGCGTGCAACTCTGCGTACCCGGGTGAAGGTTTGGAAGAACAACCCCTTGTCAAAAGACTATCGTGCGAAGACGTCGAGGACTACAGCGACCTCTTTGATGGCTGGACGCACACGGTTACCCAGATGGAAGCGGGACGCTTCGGGTATTCGGGTCTTTCCATCAACCTTCCCGGCCTCAAGGTTTTCATTGACACGCATACGCGTCCGCTTCGCTGGTGCGAGTACCCCCACATTCCGGTCACCGCTATTTACATCCCCTTGCACAGTGCAGGAGACGTGCGCTGGCGGGGCAGGGAAATGTCGAATGCAAGCGTTGTCGTGCAGGGAACGGGCGAAGAACAGCATTTCATCGTTGGCGCGAACACGCAGGCCATTTACGTCGATATCGGCCAGCAACTGATCCAGAGTCTCGGCTGGCACGACCTGAAAAACGGACAAATGACGGTCGCCTCCGAACCGCGAAAAAGATTTGTCCGTTACTGTTTTGATCTGACCGCACAACAACCGGACAGAGACGCCAGTCCGCAGTTGTTTTTTAAGCGGAACAATCTCCTGCGTCTGCTGAGAGAGATGCTTTTCCCGGCAATCGCAAGCGGTCACTCAAACAGCGGAAATCAGGTGCGGGTGTCGGACTTCGAAGTTCTGCTCCTGTGCGAGGAGCTTCTTATGAAAACCGGCATGACAAAGCCGGTAACGAACTCTGACCTTGCCGGACAGATCGGCATCTCGGAACGACGATTTTATCGGGCTTTCGAAAACCAGCTCGGCATGAGTCCAACCCGTTACATCGAACTGCTACGCCTTCATGCCCTTAGGCGAGCCTTGCTTTCCGAAGAACGGACGAACCACAAGATTGCAGACACAATGACGGAATTCGGCTTCACCAATGCCGGACGGACGGCAAGACGCTACAGCGAACTCTTTTACGAATACCCCAAGGCGACGACCGCGTTGCGGTTCAAAAGGACAACCACACAAGACTGTTCATGATCACGCTTTGCCAATTCACCTCGATGCAAACACAAGTGACAGCGTGATTTTCCCGACACCTTCTGCGCTCCAGACCAGGTTACGTTCGACCGTCTCCGCGTAACTCAATTCATCCCGCCAGACGCTTTGCAAGGCATTGATGCTGGTGATCAGGTCGTAGTGCTCGACGTGACGCAGGCCCGCGGACGGGACGAATTCCACTCCCGCCTCATGGGAGAAACGGATTGCGGCCACTTCATCGGCAACCGTTCCGTCGACATCCATTGTGTGGATGGCTCCATTGATCAGGGCAACATCAGCTGTGGGATTGAGTCGTGCGGATTGGGCCAGCGACACGGTCGATGCTCCCAGCAGCAAAGCGGTTGCGAGCGAAATCAGTTTTGCGGAATTCAATGAAAGACCTCCCATCCAGTCTTCACGCCGGCACAACATCGGCAAAAAGCACAATGGTGACAAGCAGTTAAACGTCTCAAGCAGCGTTGCACAGCCGGGGGTGCGGTGTCAGCTGGGACAACATTAAAAATGAAACTGGGTGGTGTGAGGCAGTTGCACGAAAGTCGGAACCTTTACTTCGGTCCTGAATTTTTCGGCAGGACGCAGGGCTTTGCCTTTTCGTCGATCGGGCCCGACCCCCGAAAAATGTGACTGACAAGATTGAGCGGCAGGGAAACCACTTCGCCGATTGCCCGGCCCGGCCCGGCATCCCTTACCTTGACATCCGGCTTGCCAAGTGTCCCGTGGATTTCAAAGGGCGAGACGATCTCGACGAGCTGCTTGCGCTTGGCGCGCGGGGCGAAGGACAGGTCAAGCGCACCGGACCTGAAGTCGACGCTGCCCGCTCCGACGAGCTGAACGTTCTGTGTTTCGACGATCATTCGCTTTGACGTTGCGGTGCCGTTCTTGAAATGCAGGGGCAGCACGGCGCAGACGATTTTGGTTGTATGGTCCTGATTGCTTGTCACCAGCCAGGTGAACACATTGAGGCCGGTCAGGTCCAGCAGCCGGTTGGGCAGCGTTCCGCCCCAGAGAGAGGCCGTCACATTGCCTGAAAGCGATTTGAGAAAGCCGGTCTCGGAGGCCGCGTTGCCCGTGACATCAAAGCTGGCATAGACGGTGCT